GCCCTCGTGCCTCCTTATACAGCCAGTCCTCTGGGGCAGGGTGTTTCTGTATATAATTACCCACATATACACTGTATGACTGAATAAAATAAGCCTAATGTCTGACAGTGATGGTGACAGGGAGGAGCTTTCAATCAAGATTAAAATTAGGGTTAAAATACATTTTTACATTTTATGGCTTGCAACGTGTGCATGGCAGTAGTTCTGACATTACAACAGTATAAATAATAAATACATTGCTTTTTAAATAGTAAATTAAGTGAAATTACAAATGAAAGTATAAACAAAATTACTGCAACATAGAAAGACAAAAATGTTTCTTGAATGTCTTTTACAAGCTTCACATGTCTATATTTGAACTAGAATATCACCAAAAGTGATATTAAATCCATTGTGGAAAAGTAAAGACAAAGTACGTAACAGTTCGCTTTTATTAACAAGCCATTGTAAATCCCATATTGGTGCATGTGGAGACTAGCATTATTATAATGGTGTTTAAAATGTATTGCATGTATGCTACTGTGCTTGAGGAGACATGGAAACTGTGCAGCCATATTTGTTGGTAAATCAACAGATACACAATATCGTACAGTGAGGGAGAGAACTCACAGATTGGTCAATGTTCTCCAGGATCTCTTCGATAGAGCCATGTTGTCTGATGAGATCGATAGCTCTCTTGGGTCCAATTCCTTTGATGGTGCCACAGTAGTCACATCCCAGTAGGATACACAAGTCTATGAACTGAAGAAGAGAAGATATATGTATTAATTGAAGTGTAAAAGAGGCATATCACATAATTCTAAGCAGTTGTTGAAAAGGACTCATTTCTTACTTGTTGATGTGTCAGGTTCATCTCCTGCAGAATGCGGCTAAAATGAAACTCCTGGATGGGAAGTTTTCTAAAAGTAGAGGGGGGGGGGAAGCGCAAAAGTTGAGTCCATAGATTAATACAGTCTATAAACATATTTAACATCATTACTGGTTATAGAACCAGCACAGTATGAAAACAGAAACAAACCCACCCCAAAAAATGATATTCAGCTGTATAGGTACCATATTCAGAACTCAATTTAATGTGAACAATTAGTCAAGACTGAATAAAAGTTAATTCAAAATGTACTAGACAGTTAAATGTTAACTGTAGGTTAATACAATGTAATGTATATAACAACATTTTTATGAGACTATAATACCTTTTTAACCAAACGACCATAAGGTTGGTCCCAACCTAAATCAAGATTACGTGAACATTAAAGCAACATGCACAAAATGGCTGATTTTGGCCATTAAATTTTTATTTGCATTGATCAAGAGCCTCTAAAAAGCAACATACTTTGCCTCGCTAGCCGTTAAGTGTCTCAATAGGACACTTGTTCCAAAAGTTAAGCCATCCATATCTTCAGTTGCTGTAGCAAACACTTTTCCTGCCTTTACCAGGGCGGCACAGCTGGCCTCTGCCTCACATGGAGCCTTGAAAAGATTTTTATTTGGTTAGCATTTTTTCCAGCCTTTTGAAGTCAAAAACCTTTTTTTTCAGTTAAGTCAGCAATTGTTATACACACACACACACACACACACACGTGTGTAACGTATAAAATAATACCTCAATATAGGGCACTCCCATTAATTTGAGAAGCTTTTTGCACTCATCGTTGTGTTGCCTGGTGACTTTCACAAGACGTTTGCTAAACTTATCAATGTTCTCCTGTTCACCTGAAGGACAACAGCATAAAGTGTCGTTACCATTAAATATTAGACTTTGCTTAGAATTAAATTTTCAAAAAGCAGGGATGTGTTTCCTTCTGTTAAAAGTTTCTATTGTTATACCTGTTTCCTGTGCCTGAGCAAGCAGCTTTTCGGCTTCCGCTCTCCTCTCACCTCTCTTCTCTAACTGTAAAGAGAAAAATCAAACAATCGAAAAAGCATTGGCTCAAACAGCTGCCAAGGTAGTATGCAGATTAGAAAAAGTACCATGCCTCATTTCATACTACCTGCACCAGCAACTGACTACACATTAGCCTCTATTCTATATAAACAAAACCGTTCTTTCAATTATACCTCAGGATTTACCTAAGGGCTTTAGGATGCTATCATGTGACATAAAACTCCCACATAGGAAAACATCAGAAACACAGTACACAGCCAAATGAATGTGGATACCCTCCTATCCCATATTTGTGTGTATGTCAATTTCAGCCACACCTCCTGCTAGCAGGTGCATAACATCAAGTAATACAGCCATGCATCTCCGTAAACAGTGGAGTGGTGTAACATACACCGCTACTGGACCCCGGAGCAGTGGAAACACATTCTCAGGAGTGATTTCCCAGATGCCAAGGCTACCTGCCTGGATGCATAGTGCCAACTGAAAAGTTTAGTGTAGCAGGAAAAATGGTTTGGGCATTGTTTGGGCACCTTAGTTCCAATGGAGGAAAATCTTGATTCTACAGTATACAGTGACATTCAAGAGAAATGTGTGCTTCCAACTTCAGTAGTCTGCAATAGTTTGGAGAAAGCAATTCCTATTTCAGCATGGAAGACTCCCTGTGCAAAGTATATAAAGAAATAGTTTTACTTTTTTAATTTAGTGTGAAAGAACTTGACTGCCATGCCCTACACCAGTGGCCAACCTCACTAATGCTCTGCATGGCTGAATAGAAGTGAATCGCGCCAGACATGGATGCTCACATGATTTTGGAAAGCCTTCCCAGAATAGTGAAAATTGTTAGAGCAGCAAAGGGGGTTGGGGCAACTCCATATTAATGTCTATGGTTTTGTAATGAGATGTTCAACAAGTACACGCAGAGGTGATGTCCAGGTGTCCACATACTTTCGGTCATATAGTGCACATCATTCTACAACAGTATGTTCAATTTCAGTCCTGGCTATCCACTGCAGTTTTGTGTTGTCCCTGGTCTTACTCATAAGCTAATTACCTAAGCTAATCAAAATGTGCTGAAGTAGAGAAAAGATTAAACTATGTTGGGAAGAAACCACTCTGGGTGCATAATTTTCTTCTGTGTTCCTGTTAGAACCTGTGATAATCAGTCGTTTTCATTTATAAGCTCTTTAACAATCAAACTACTTTAAAATACAAGAGACAAGGCCTAGGTAAGACCTTTCAAAAACAAAAGGAAATGTGATAAATGTGGTTAGTTCATGGACCTCAAGTAAGGAATATAACTAATTTGCCTTAACTAGATCCTTTTTCTTACCTCTCCAGACTTCAGCTGAGGGGGCTTCCCATCAAACACATATACAGGTTTTATGCCACTGTCCAACATTCGTATGGTCCTATAGAACATGCCCATGAGGTGGCTGAGGAGGCAGAAACACATGCATTCGTATTAAAAATTCTTTTAAATATCGCAATACCTACCAAAAAGCTCAACTGTAGCCTAAAGCTGAAAAAACAATACCTTGTTGTCTCTCCATCTTCATTCTGTAAAACATTGCCGTCTTGTCTGACAGCAATCAGGAACTGGTAAATACACATAGATGCGTCAACGGCAATCTTGCGTCCTAAATGTGATGGCAACAGGCCGGAGACAGACATGAACAAAAACAGCACTGATTACTAGTAACATAAGGGCAATATCACACAAGGTATCTTAAACGTATAAACCAAGTTAGCTTAAGCGTAGAAACAAATCTCACAGCTAAAAATGATGCAATACATGATGATTAGCTTGTGTACAAGAATTTACAATACCGAAAGAACAGAATGTGGTATGAAAGCTCACCGAAATAATTCTTAATGTCTTGCTCCTTGATTGCAGACGGCGCCTGATCAGCTATTAACTTAGCAAGCCCGTGAATTCCCATAGCGATGCGTTGTAAGATAGAGAGCTGACGTAGAAAAGACCAGATATTACTAAAGCGACAGAATACATTCACTTGCATAGCTAACCTACATAACCAAAAGACTAAGAAAGACCGTTCACGTATCTTTATTGTTTACATTCATTCAAGCTAGTTAGCCTAGGCCTGTGTGCTAACGACTTGTGCTACCTTGCTGAAATGTCCTACTCTAGCGCATATTTACAGATAACGTTAGTATTCTGAATAAAACTGCAGTTAGGATATTTTGATAGCCTAAATCACCGTGTCAGAAAATGCTAACGTCCCCAGCATTGAAATCTCTATCAGAAAACGTTACCAGCATTTAAAAAACAATTAGAATGTTTTGATATCCTAAATCAATCACCTCATCAGGAGGTAAGAGTGATATTAAGCTGATTCTGTACTAAATTGACATTAAAAACATGGCTAATAATATGTTTGAAACACCAGCTAGTTACGTAACTACACTATAGGCCATAGTTAACCTAACGCTTAAATTTGCTTAAATAGCCGTCTATAGCATAGCAAGCAAATTTATACTACTTAGTCTAAGTTCATTAAAAGTGAGCACACGTGGTTTATATTTAGCTGAACGCTTATAAAAGATATCACCTACCAAAATTATTATCCGTTACACACACTACGAACCGCACTTTCCTCACTCAAGTTGGCGGGGAAAACGAGCGCCTTTCGCGCGCTGCGAAAACTAACTTTAGAGACCTTACGAATCGAGCCTAACGCCAAACTTCTTTGGAAACTACGGATCGACTGCTCGAAATCGATTACTTCGCTCTCTAACAGGAATGAAAACAGAAAACGTGAGCGCGAACGGCCGCTGTGCACAATATACGATCTATACATAACAATGACGCAAAATTTCCGGAACACTATGATTTGTAGATCAGAGCTTGTCGCAGACCCACAAATCAGAAAACGCTCCCCCTGTGATGCAATTCGTCGGGCTGGAAAGAGATTAAAAAGGACAGCTACATTTCATACATTTTAGCTGAGAGTGGCCAGTGTATTTTTTAACCTGTGCATTTAATGCAAAGCTGCGGATGTCCTCAGGGAAGAGGGAAAGGGTCTTAACAGGTGTAGGTGTTCTGTGTGTTTCTTCGCCCCGCCCATCCCGGAAAAGCCGAAACGGCGATATTTTTTATTTTAAGGTGACGTGGATTCGGTAGCTGGATTGTATGTTTTACAACACTGAATAAAATCTGTATTTTGGAGGACAGTTTATGGTCCGCTGTTTGGAAACACGAGCAGATAATGATATTGCACATATGCACTCGGTCTTGACCAGCTGATAAAGGGAGAAAGCTGAGCCCGAGGAAGGAGTCGAAGCAATTTAAGATAGCATCCGAAACAGGTTTGCTGCGTTTTGATCATGCGGAAGCATTTGAAGCTATGTAGCTAGGTTGGATGTTCCCATATTACGGATATACACTATATGATACCGAGATGTAGCTGTGGTTTGTTCGTAAATTCAGTAATCCATAGTTTTAGCCTGGTGGCTACATGAAACTGTGGCCCGAAGTGCTAAGGTAGAAGCTAGCTTATATGTTCATCGCCGATAAGGACACCGGGTACAGCAAAGCTGCTGTTATCATTTCAGCATTCATTCTAAGTAACTTATTCGATCATAATTACACATGGTCATCTAATAATCGCTGACTAGTTAAAGCTTCAGCACGTTTACCCGCTTGCCTTCACTGCTGTAAAACCGCTGCCAACTTCTGAGTTATGACTGATTCTGATTTTGCTTTGATGTCATTCTGTCAGTGCTTACATTAGTGCTAATCTATGGATCTTATAGCCTGCTCATGGGAATTTATTTGGGAATTTTTAGATTTGTTAACTTGTATCATTCATCATGTATGTGCTTTGTGTCCTACTGTATTGAAACTTTCGGTATGGTTATGAGTATGGAGGGCTGTAAAATGTTAAAGGGAGAGTTCTATTTAGGGTGCAACAACGTAAGCAGTAACCACCAATATATGATAATAAAGCGTCGTTCTCTCTATCTGATATTGTCTTTGACAGGGATTGTCATGACACTAAGACTGGCCCGTGGGTGGGCCATGGGGTCTTGTGTGTTGCTTCTGTGCCTTTTGCCACAGATTGGATGGGCCATCAGTTACAAGCAGGGCGATCCTGTCATTCTTTACGTTAACAAAGTGGGTCCTTATCACAACCCCCAGGAAACATATCACTATTATACGCTGCCTGTCTGCAGACCTAAAGAGGTGAGTTAGCCTCTTGCTTCTAAATTTGGTTGTTTCACTTTTGGGCTGTCACAGTTGATTACATTAGTCCTCTACCCATTAAGTTAATGATTAATTGAGAGATCAGAATTTTTTTAAAAGACCGAATAATTAAAAGAACAGTAGCAAACCACCCATAGCCTTTCAGAGATTGTCAAATATTGTATTCAACAATGATAAACACGAAAAACTTTAAAAAGGCTTCTTAAAAAATATAAGATCCCAATGGGTCAAAACCTGCATATCAAAGATTTTGTCAATCTGGTTTTTTTTCCTACTGTATAAGAGAGAGCGGCAGGATAATTTAAATTATGCGTTAAAATCATACAGATTACCAATTAGTTACAACAGCATTATAGAGAGGGTAAATTATGATAAATTATTTTTTTAAGTTGCTTGCAGTCAAAATAGTCAGATGTTCTGTGATCTTAACGTAAGTCGATGTTATTACAGGTGCGTCATAAAGCCTTAAGTCTTGGAGAGGTTTTAGATGGGGACAGGATGGCAGAGTCTTTGTACAAGATCCACTTCAGGGAGAACACAGAAAGACAGATATTGTGCCATCTCACCCTCTCTGAGAAAGAGGTAATGTTCAACTCCAACATTCCTGTTTGCATTTTATTATTGTCCTATCAAAACCTCACAAATCCCCTTTATTATTTATCTATTTGTTATTTTTTTTTCATTTTTGTTTTATTCATTTTTATCAGTGGCGCAGTGGGTAGCGCTGTTGCCTTGCAGCAGGAAGTGCCTGGGTTTGAGCAGCCAGGGTCCTTTCTTTGTGGAGTTTGCATATTCTCCCCATGTCTGTCTGAATTTATTCTCACAGTCCAAAGACATGCAGTCAGGCCAACTGGACACACTACATGTTGAAAGCCTAACTCACCGTATCTGGAGACTTGTGTGTGAATGTATATGTCTGTCTGTCTGCCCTGCGATGGACTGGCGACCTGTCCAGGGTGTATCATGCCTTCTGTCCGATGACTGCTGGGATAGGCTCCAGCACTCCCCCCGTGACCCAGAAGGATAAGCGGTTTAAAAACTGTGTGTGTGTGTGTGTTTGTGTGTGTGTGTACCATTTGGAAATGCCTGTTCCCCTTTTTATTGTTGTAAACATTTCATGAATAATGGTCCAATAGAAATGATCCAAAACTACTTACAGTGAAATCTTAACATAAATCTAAGTTATGGACTTTTTAATCCTTAGATTTTGTTCTCACAGCGACCATTTGCATTAATTTAAGATGTTATTTAACAATAGAAACTTTTACATGTAATTAGACTAACTTGCTGAACTGAGTTTTCCAACCATAATGTGTTGTTATTAAATATTAAATGCATTGATGTCTAATGTTACTGTTTTATTAGGTTGATCAGCTGAGAGAAGCTATTGAGGAGCTGTATTACTTTGAATTTGTCCTGGATGATATTCCTATCTGGGGATTTGTGGGATACATGGAGGAGAGTGGTTTCCTGCCTCACAGTCACAAGGTCTGCCTATCCCCTCCCCTCGTTTTGCTCTTGTTCTCATTTTGGACCTGACTGACATATAAAAATGATCTATGATAACGATCTAATAACGGATCATATCAGACGATAAAATTTTACTTTGTATACCTGGAAAATGTGTGAAATCATAAAAGTCATTGTACAATTTAACTAGACAGTTGAACTGTGCTTTACTGACTGTCAGTTAACCCTGAATATGATTGTCAGTTCTCAGTCATCAAATTCTCAAGTTAAAATACATGAAAAATTTGCAAAGTCTTAAATAATATGAATATTATAATGCTGGGTAGAACCTAGTCAGAGGTATAACAAGAATCTTATGGGCTTTAGTGCAAAAAAGTAATACCTTCAAAGAGGAAAAAAGACTTTTTTTTTCATATTTTTCATACATTTTAATTTGTTTACTTGCTGTTGCTGACACTGTCTCAACTGAAGTATTCTCACTTGAATCATGAGTGTGAAATTGTGTAAGTAGTGATATAACGGGTCCAATAATGACATTAATAGTCGGCGTGCTGTGTGACAAGCCCCAGTAAAAATGTATAAATAAGTTCAGTAAACCATTAACTGACCATTAATAGCTGTGAACAAATCATTAGTTCATCAAAATTTAAAAATGATATACAAGCTGTTTTTCGGTTCATTTACAACAAACCTTTTCATTAGTTAAACAACATCAGTTCATGTATACAAATCACTGCAGCAAATTACTGAAATGTATATCTTTCTAATAATGACAATGTATGTATGTAATGTCCAGTATGTGTATATGATAATAAATATATATTATGGCTAAGTAATTAGGTAATTATTGTGTTAACGGGTGTGTGTAAAACGTCTGTTCTTTAGTTAAAGACAATTTTGGAAACCACTCATAATTACTTTGTTTCTAAAATAAAAGCAAGAAGTGCCGGTCATATGATTTTGCCAGAATTAAGTCTGAGCAATGTGTTGTAGTTTCTGAACTTATTTGGTGATATCTGATCTTTGGAATTTATTGCATATTTAAAAGCTTTGGGTGAGACAGACACATCAGGGCTGAAATTGCACAGGGTATCACAGCTTGATGCTCAAAGAAAAGATGTGGATTAACACTGCCAAACAAGCGCAGAAACTACAACAGCACATTTTTACATGCTTGTTTTTACATGACAGTCACTTCTCACGTGTATTTTGCAGGACAGTGTGATTTGGGAATCTGGAACAATTTAGATCCTTCCATGAATTGTGTAGCGTGGAGCATTACAGTGCTACACAACAAAATATAAAGCTTGATGTCCCTATTAGAATGTTAGACATTTTAGTATTTTGCTGCAATGATTTGTATACACAAGCTGATGTTTTATAACTCATTATTTGTCATACTCATTTTCAGAATAAAGGGTTTTTTTTGTAAATGAACAGCATGCACAGCATTTCTATAAACATTAATACATTTTTGAATTCTGATGAACTATCGATTTCTTTATAGCTATTTATAGTCAGTTAATGTTTTTTTAAGCTTAGTTATTATAAAGTGTTGCCCAAGCCCCAGTGTGATAGCCCTGATTGCACTGCCAGTCGTTGTGCTGTTGGTTCTGTATGGCTGTGTATTTGCTCCTACTTATTTAGTTTGCGCGGTTCACTTTACAATAATACTATTTTTAAAATGTGATCCTCATGCTTAAGTCAGGTTTGATGATTTTGCAGCACTTTTATTATTTTAGCCTTGATGTTTTGTATTCAGTTGATTTTATAAAAGTGAGCAGGTAGTTCCTGTCAGTTTAGAAGTGTTTGAAGAGATTAGCATATTAAAACCAATAGAATCCTGAGAAATGGCAAAAATTATTCAGGCAGATGTAATGTAGATAAAATACATATAGATTGAGTAGAGGAATGGAGTTTTTACATGATTTAAAGGAGTTTTTCACCCAGCATTTTTCAGCCTAATCCCCATCTGCCACACATGTATTGTACTGCCTGTTGCCACAAAAAGTGATTTCAACCAATTTTCCTGCACTTGAAGGATAGAAAACCCTGATTACTCGGAAAATAATGAAGCTGCTAAATTCTGTGAATAAACATTTGAAATACAATTTTGAAAGTAGAGCCATTACACTCTTAACAGTAAAGGTACAGGTCAAACACTTTTAAACCTTGTTAAACACAATTATAGTTTATAGTTTAATTTTTCCTAAGGTTTGTGCTATCCATAGCAATCTATGGTCTTAAAAATCCTCAAGCCATTTAGAAATGTCAGTGTTTTATTGCTGGTGTTTTCTCTTACACTTATAGTATCTTCAACTCCATATATGTTTAATATTAAACGATATTATCTGCATTAGGTGCTGACTGTTTGGTCTTACTATGCAGCAAGGTAAAAAAAATCATTAACATTATATTTTACTGTTAATACTTTTTTTTTCTTCAGGTGGGGTTATGGACTCACTTGGACTTCAACATCGAGTATAATGGTGACTCTGTCATCTTCGCCAATGTGTCAGTTAAGGATGTGAAGCCGGTGCCCCTGGAGGAAGGAGGTGGTGGGGCAGGCCAGGGGACCGGGGGCAGCAGTGAAGGACTCTCAGTGACTCACACTTACAGTGTGCACTGGTTTGAAAGCCCTTTGCCTCATGCACGCAGGGCTGAGCGCCTCCGAGATTACTCCTTCTTCCCAAAGACTCTGGAGATCCACTGGCTGTCAATTATCAACTCGTTGGTGCTAGTGGTACTGCTGCTGGGCTTTGTCATCATCATCCTCATGAGGGTGCTAAAGAACGATTTTGCTAGGTAAGGATGCATAAATGATGGAGAACTAGAGGAGAGAAGAATTGATAAAGATAGAGTAGGGGAGAGGGATGCAGTAGATGATCACAGGAATATTCCAGTATCCTTCAACCTGATCTCTGTCTACTGATTACTGCAGACAGTGATCTCATTGTTTTGTTTTTTGCATTTAAAAAACAGTAAACCTGCTGACTTGAAGTACACTTATAGTAGAAGCCAGTGAGAAGCATCGGTACTCTGTGAATAAAAGTTTGAAATGTGAGACTGCATAGAATGATTTTGAAACTATAGCAGTTACAGGTCTTGGAGTCAAACAGATATAGGAAAATATCTTACAGAAGTTATTATGAAGTTTTATCCAGCTTTTAATTACTGGAGCAGCACAGTAAAACGGTTCTGGTTAGTTTTCCCTAAGGTTTTCTGGTATCCATGGCAAGCTGGCAGAAGACACTGGTAACAAATTACTGCAAATATTTCCCTCTGAAAAACTCGCCCTCTGAAGAACAAATTTATTCCTTTTAACCTGCATGCAGTGGAGAATTAAACTGCCTAAAGTCATCTAACTAGAATTCTGTTCCTTTGTGTAGGAGGGACACTAAAGTACAATATTTCTTTTGAAATATAAGAATGGCCTGAGGCATAGCAAAGCCATCTTTATAAAGTCACAAGAACGAAAGTGCTGTTTCTAGAGCGGTTTTTCAAACTACAGTGATCAACCAAAATCAGTTTACACAGAAGTCGTCTGACCTTAAAGCTATAGGTCAGCGAAAAATCCCTTCATGTAGTTGATAAGCCAATATATGTTTGGTGTTTAGAGCATCTTTAGTTTTGTGCTGGAGCTATGAGGCTAATGTAGCTAACTACAAGTCAGACACATGCAAACCACACAATTTATGCTGGTATGGTTTTTGATATGGAATAATATACTGTTGTCAATATGTATGGACGAAAGCAGCTATTGAGAAGTTTACCACAGCATGATTGAAATAAAAATTTAGAAATGTTCAATAAACACGCATTCATAATATCTATGATGTGTTGTGTGTCTAAAAAAAAGAAGACCACAAATTGAACTTCAAAAGTAAAATAGGTTATAAAAGAAAAAATATTTTTTCAGGATTACAGGAACATAAACAACGAAACATAATCAAAAGAATGGATAAAAATACAGAAAAATAATCTCAACAGTTCAGCATGTTCACACGAAAACACAAACTCACACGCAAAGGATTAACTAAGGCAAAAGCTTAAAGAAAATCAGCAGGCTAAAACTCTTAAGAGGAAAAAGAGAGAGTGTGAGAGGAAAAAAAAGAGAAAGTGGTGGGGGTAAAGGGCACCTGCAGGTATCTTCCCCGTCTAACACAGACTAGGTCAAAGCAGTTATACCATTATGCAATTATATGTAAATCAGACAGTCTAAATACAATTACTAATTCATCATTACAAACCAAAGCTGTTATAATGCAGACTTGGATTGGCTTAGAAACAAAACTGAACACTGTGTCATTGGGTGAGATTCAATTCACAAAAGTTGTGTCCTTCATGTGCATCCTAAGCAGCAAGAGTCGGTCTTGGTCAGGACAAAGGCCTTGAAGGTTCCTAAATGGTCACCTTTCACCCAGTAATACAATAATGGAAATACCCAGTTCCAACTCCTGGACCATTGTCTGGTAGGATAGATTGGAGATGAGCATAAACCTCAAAATAAAAAGTCCTTATCTCATGTCACAGTGTCCTTTTCAAGGAACATTTCACAGGCCTCACAGAGACATAAAAGCCAAAGAGCTATTATTTCTAGGTGTAAGAAATATATACTCAAGCAAAATATTCTCTTTTTAAAAAATGTTCCAACTTAATTACGAGAGTTAATCTATATCCCTACAACCCCATTGGGGCACCCTTGATTTGGTTCTTTTTTTAGGGCAGAATGTAATTCAGTGGTCTTGGCTGCAGCTCTGTTTCTCATTCTTACTGTTCTTCCAGGTATAATGTAGAGGAAGATGGCAGCTGTGATGATCTGGATCAGGGAGATAATGGCTGGAAGATCATTCATACTGATGTCTTTCGCTTTCCACCATACAAGAGCTTGCTATGTTCTGTTCTGGGAGTGGGAGCACAGTTTCTCACTCTGGCCACAGGTAAGAATCAGTGTGCTACAGAAACCATCAACTGCATTGTGAACACTTGCAAATGTTAAGGCTGTGATGACTACTCAGTTAACCTTGATTACTAGACTAAAAAAATCATTGATCAAAATGTTCCTTCTTAATTAAACAAATCTCATGATGATAATGCATATTTTAAAATATTTCTACTGGGCTCTTTTGGAGTAGGACATAAGGCACAGTGAATGGATTTTTTTAATTTATGTAAAAATAAATAAGGAGTCTTTTTAATGGGTTTCCTAGTTTATCTTTTTTCAAACAAGTATTTTGGGTATTTTGAAAGTCAGTGCATTGTTCCTCTGTATATGTTAAGTCCATTTTTACAGTTTGAACTTTTTTAAAACTATTTACATGATTATTCATCAAATGTAAGTGAATAAGAGGGGATGACAGATTAGCTGCAGATTACATCTTTACTGTTGACATGAATGTTCTCTCTGATCACTCTTAACCTGTTATCCTGGCCTTCCTTCTTTGTTGCCAGGAATCATTGTCATGGCATTGCTGGGGATGTTTAACGTGCATCGCCATGGTGCCATAAACTCTGCAGCAATTGTGCTTTATGCACTGACAAGTTGTGTGTCAGGATACTGCTCCTGCAACTTCTACACCCAGATCCATGGGCAACGCTGGGTCTGGAACATCATCCTCACGTCCTCCCTCTTCTCTGGTGAGATGTGGTGCTTTACTTTAGATCAACATGGTTGGGAAAGACTGTGCATGCAGGACTTGTTTTCTGTGTGATGTTGAGTGGGCAACAAAAGAGAAACATGTAAAGGAACTTTGGGAGACGTAGGAAATTACATACACACTTTAGCATCTCCAAAACTGTGTCTCAGAATTTTGCACATCTGATCAATGATCTGCGTGACTATTCCCCTTAACAGGGCCCGTATCCTACATTTTTCTTGTTTTATTTTTTCGCCGAGGTCCACTTATGACATTTGTTTGATTTTGTTAACCAAAAACAAATTTTCAACCTCTCTTTGTCCCTTTGAATTAAAAAAGCTATTTTTGTATCTGACCAGTATTCTGAGTGGCTGCTTTGTATTTTGCCTTGTTCAAAAAGCAATCCAGGCTGACCTTCTTCAGTGTAAATGGCTGTGGCTAAACTGCTGTAGGCTGACCTACTGTAGGCTGAATACATGAATATACATGTAGCTGTGTTGGTTTTTGTGAATTTTCAGTGGTGCAATAGAAAAAGCAGTATTTTGCACTCCTACCTCAATATACAAAAGGAAAGCCTGAGACATCTGCACTGTACACGTTGGTGTTACAATTTTGTGTTATTCAAAGGCAAAAATCTCATCTCTCTCTGTCTCTCTCTCTCTCTCTCTCTCTCTTTCTGTGTTCCTCTCACGCACAGCTCCTCTCTTTCTGACCTGGAGTGTAGTAAACTCTGTTCACTGGTGGAGTGGTTCCACGCAAGCCCTCCCTGCCTCCACTGTGCTCCTGTTGCTATGTGCTTGGGTGTTAGTAGGCTTTCCCCTCACAGTCATTGGGGGAATTGTGGGTAAGAATCGGGCCGGCAGCTTCCAGGCTCCATGCCGCACACGCAACATCCCCCGACAGATCCCCCAGCAGCCCTGGTACAAACACACAGCTGTGCACATGGCCATCGGAGGATTCCTGCCTTTCAGGTGAGTAGTGAAGCTAGTAAGAGAATGAGTAATCCAGTTTCATAAATTGCTGTTCTTCACATCTTATTCTGTGGGTTTATTGGCCAGTTACAAAGCAGAAATCCGATTACTGCCTGACTCATGTAGACCTGTGGAGTTTTCCCATTATCTGATTACTCAAGTACATGTAAACACGTTTCTGACAAAATCTGATTTTCTGCAATTCGGATTATTAAGTCATAGTCAGTGAAGTTAATTTAATTTGTTTTTCATGTGCTGTTGTGTGAATGAAGTACTTTTACTAAACGTTTTTAAGGCATGTATTGATACTTGTACTTGTCTTGCTAGACAGCTCTGGTTACTCTGCCTAACCATACATTAGAAATCAGTAGTTAGTTAACAGTTACATTAAGGTAGTAGCTACATCTACATTAAACTGGGTGTCTAGTATTTGTCTTTGGACAAGTTATTGTTTGAGCTAGTCAGCTAACAGGCTACCATAACAAAGCGAAGGATGTTTTGAATAGCTGTTACAACCTTTACATTTCCAGAAGTGCTAGAAGAAGTGCTATGCTAGAAGTAGCATTAAATCCAGTGTGGGAAAATGTTCATAGCACCACTTAGCACCACAGCACTGCTAGCTTGGTCCTAAACTTGAAAATTGCGAATACAAAATTATTGAGACTTTCCCCCCATTAAACTTTCTGGCAGTGACAGGTACTACTTTAGACATGTCTGTGATTAGATTGTTTGAATAAAACAGAAATATTAAATAGTTATATCATTTACATTATATAATGTAATATTTTTCCATCATCATTATGTTGAGATTAAAATATTATTATCATCATGAATTGGAATTTCTGTTTTTATTGTTGACAAAATTTAAGAAACTCTTCCTCCTCCATAAATCTAATCCGTTTACAAGACTTACGCTGCTGAAAAGTTTGAGTGCTGATATCACAACAAGGGGATAAAAGGTGTGGAGTACAGCATCATAGCCAAAGTAGTATTTTCGCAATTTGTTGTTGATTTGATGTAATGCTACTTAAAATAAATTTGGTTAGTCTTTCATATGTTAATTATTGCAAAATGACAAAGGCAGAATTTGTCCCAAAGTTTTTGTCTGGTAGTGAATATTCCTTAATCTAGCCAAATTTCACATTAGAAGCTACTACAACTGTTTTACTCTAATAATGCAGGCCTTGGAACAGGCATGAGAGAATTTGACAGAAGCAACACGGTAAAAAAGCAGTTTCTTGTTACCTTCACTTTCACTAAGGTTTTGTGGCAATCATGCAAGAGCCTGCAAAAACTCAGATTACAAATTTTATTGAAGAGTTCAAAAAAAAATCTATGTTGTATATGAACATTTAATTCAGCAACTGTGCAGTGGCTTCTATTGCAAGTGAGTTTCTAGTTTCTAGTCAGCAGGTTTTCTGTTCTTAATACAGGTATATGTTTCAAAATTGTTGTGGTAAACTGTACACTACAGATGCAAAAGAGAGACATTAGGCTAGCGTAGTTACTTCTTGGTGATAAACAGTTGTCACCCATCTTAATCGTGGAGACCCACCTTCTGGTGGAGTGTAGTTCAAACCACAATCTGCACATACTACAGATAATTCACTTAATGTCCTTGATTGGCTGGATCAGATGCATTAGTGTCAGTAGGAGGGGGCAGCATTTTAGATGCAATTTGGAACTGAACTCTGCAGCAAAGTAGATCTCCAGCAGGAGGTCTGTCTGCTCTGAATGAGTGCAGCATTGGAGTTAAAAATCACAGCTGTATGGATCACTTTTATCTCATATTGATCTCTCTCTCTCTCTCTCTCTCTCTCTCTCTCTCTCTCTCTCTCTCTCTCTCTCTCTCTCTCATTTTTTCACAGTGCCATCTCAGTGGAGCTGTACTACATCTTTGCCACCGTGTGGGGAAGAGAGCACTACACTCTTTATGGCATCTTGCTCTGCGTCTTTGCCATTCTGCTCTCCGTGGGGGCCTGCATCTCCGTAGCGCTCACGTACTTCTTGCTCTCAGGCGAAGATTACCGCTGGTGGTGGCGCAGCATCCTGAGCACAGGCTCCACTGGCCTCTTTATATTTGTCTACTCTCTCTTCTACTACCACAATCGTTCCAGCATGAGCGGTCTGGTGCAGAGTGTGGAGTTCTTTGGCTATTCCTTACTCACAGCCTTCGTCTTCTCTCTCATGCTGGGGACCGTTTCATTCTGGGCCTCGCTGGCTTTCATCCGTTACATCTACCGCAGCTTAAAGATGGACTGATTGAGAGCATAAAAGACACTTTCTTTCTCTCTCTGTCTCTTTCTCTCCTTCTCTCTCTGTCTCTCTATTTCTCTGCCTTTTTGGACAAGAACATTGGCCTCATGCACCAGTGCCCAAGGAGCCTACACAAGTTTTGATTTGCTGGAATGTTAAATTCCATCGCCAAACTACTTGCAACGTCAAAATCAATGAGTCATGAAAAAGAATGAAACAAGTGGCTATTCGAGAAATGGAATCCAAACCGTCTGTTTTACACCTTTGAGATTTTCTCAATGAGACCAGGGTACTTTACATTCTTAAAGGAATACCTTTTTCAACCTCTTTTCATCTCTTATCAGCTGCATCTGTAGCTTATGATCTGTTGCCACTGACAGTAATTTCTCTGTATGTTTTAAGCATGTTTTAAGTCATCAAGATTTTCTGTTTTTTACTAAGTACAAGAAAACTTGACATGTGTCCATGTTAATCGATCATATGTTACAGATGGAGCAAATGGAAATTAGGTTGTAAAAATGCAGGAGTATTCCTTTTAAGGTACATAGCTGTTAGAATATATGCTCAGCAAATACTAGACATGTATCTGGTTCACATCTGGTTAAGTCAAGACAGTTGAGTTAAACAGTTGCATGTTCAGTCATTGCACTGTTGCCACAACAGTTTACTAAAATCAGATCCGACTTGTCGTTAGTGGCATTCGGACTGTTGATTGCATAGTTCATTCAAAAGCATTGACTTGCTGTTTAAAATTAAACCAAGAAAATGTCTCTACGTGGACTGGTATTTCCGATGGCATACAAGAAGCAGAAAATACTTTCATCCATATAACTCATGGCATATGAAGGACCTGAGTCTATATAAATTTACAAAAGGGACATGGGATTTTTCAAAAAGGGTTGCTTTGGACACTGTGTAACATGTCAGTTGAGCAAGTGGTGCATTGAATATATGTGAGGGAACATAGTTTTAATTTGGAAAAGGGTATTTATGACAAATGAGCAGGGAAGAGAGGCATAATGTTTACTTGAGGAAAGCTACTTCTGTTCCACTCTACAAATTCAGTCTGGCATTCCTCCAATACTGAATCATCTGTTTTGTTGTGAGACATATAGACCAACTGCTATGTCCACAATACCAGCCCTATGTTCAAAAGTATCCAGAGGCCACTTCTAGTTGCTCTAAGTTGCATTTATTACTTACGCAGATGTTTAAGTTTGCGCATACATCTTATACAATCTTCATAGAACAGCATTGAGCTTTAGAATGGGACACTTTGGCGCAGCCGCACGTGAACCTAAGGTCACTATATCCCATGCCAGTCAGTTAGAGGACACATCCAGATGACTTTCGTTTGTTATCTAGAACTATTCATCCAACATCAGTATCTGACCTCACTTGTGGTTGCATGCAATCTAATCCTTACAGCAGTGTTCCAACATCTAGTATAAAGACGAGTGAAAGCTGTTATTATAAAACAAAGGGGAAAACAAAGTCCCTTTTAATATGCTTCATTTTCAGATTGGATGAGCAGGTACTGACAAACTTTTGGATACATAATGTATATGTTAAAGCAGAATTAACTGATTCGTGCTCTGCCCAAAATGCATTTTTTCATAGCAACTCCCTTGCAGGTTAGACAAGTTTTTTTCAGAATATTGGCAAAAATCTTATTCAACCTAATGAGAAAAACTACAGTCACCCCTAGTCATATTACATGAGTGAAAACAATTACACATCTTCTACAGGAGTGGTTCCCAACATGGTCCTCAAGGCCCCCAGATGGTCCACATTTTTTGCTGCAACACAACTCTCTGTACGTAGGGATGAAGGAAAAATATGGACTATCTGGGTGGCCCTGAAAACCAGGTTAGGAACCACTACATTACAAAGACATAAAAATAAACACCAGTTGTGCATTAAAATGTATAGAAGTATGTTAAGTTCAGCAAATAAATAGTAATTGTGTATTGAAAGTAGCAGAAAAATGTCATGTTTAAATTTGTTCCCTGTAGAGGATGTGATAACTTATTTATATTTAGAAAATCAACAAAACATTGAATTTAACTAACTTAAAATTCTCTACATAATGTGAGGTTTTCAGTTTAAAATGTGTAATTACTGAGCTGGACTGGTTTAGCTAATCCAAAGTAAGCAGATTGGAAATGAGAAATTTGCCACTGCGCTAACATTAACATTATTATGTGACAAAAATAATACCTAATAAATCCTACCAGTGTAACCTTTCACACGCATACAAATTTAATGTCATTTACAATACTGCACTCTTCATTGACATATTTTGAGTTGTGCACTAGTTTCTTATTAGGTTGAATGGGATTTTTGCTAGAGTTCTGTAAAGCTTGTTTAACTCAGCAACAGTTGCCACAAAAGAGCACATGGATAGAAAAGGCTGAGCTTTGAACGATCCTTCATGTACCATGGGCTTTTATTGGTAATAACAAATATATGTACAAATCACTGCTATGAATGTGTGGAGTGGAACAGTATAAAAGCTTGTGAGATTCAGGATGGATTTTATCATGCTCATATGATGTGGGACATGGGAGCAATATGTACAATAGTCACCAGTTACTGTGATCTTACTTCTGCTGTACATATACAATCTTTTCAATAAAGCCACCCTTTTTCTTACAAAAAAGATCACGTTTAATGGCATTGCTAACACAGGGCGGGTTTCCTTGAATATAATAGAACAAATTAAAAGATTAATAAGCAATTTTACAGTGGAAGTGAGGGTTAGTTAAAAGCCTTCATAAAGCTGAGCAAGTTAAAAGGAATGCTGCAGCATCTTTTTCACATGGTTGTTTACCCCTACATTACGAGCATAGTAATGTGGGTGATTTTCACAAGCTTCTGCCTGATCACTATGGATACCAAAAAATCTCAGGGAAAGCAAAAGTAACACAAATTGCTTTTTTAAAGTATTGTTTCAGTTGGATAAAGCTTCAGCATTGGTAAGATACTGTATTATCTCATGTCTGTCCCATCCTTTTACCTGTAGTATTAGAGTGTAAGGATTGTATAAAATGTATTTGAAGCAACTATCACATTTCCACATTGGAATTCTGCAGCTGCTCCATGGCTTCTGTTCTAAGTGAGCTGCTCTTCTGTAAAAAAAATGCTTTGAGTCAACAGATTTTCTTTTCAGGTGAATGTTAAAGGGGAAATCCACCGATTGTTCTAAACTTCTGCATAATTAAATGGTTAAGATGCAAGAATTCTAGAGCAATTTACTGGGTCAGAATTCAGAGTTCATAGTGGTGGTGACAGGAACCAGACATCTAAAGCATTTAATGCCACTAAAAGCTCTCTCAAAGTTATTACATGAAATGGTCATGAATATGAAAGTGTATGAGACATTGCGATAAGGGTTGAGATAAGGTTTTGGTCTAAAATTTAATTTTTAAATATGTTCATGACAGAGTGGTACATGAAGGGTGTGGTAAGGCAAAATGGCCCCTGAATGCCCCCCCTTTTTCAGATATGCCACTATTTCACCATTATCAACATTACATAAAAGGACAAGTCATTCTGGACAGTAAATAAAATTACTATGCTTGTGTTGTAGGAATTGTGACCCTAGTTCCCATCAACACAACTGTAACAAAATCCAAGTCATCAAGTTTCTCTACAATGCACCATATCACATCAAAACACTCTGAATAACCATGTAGTAAACAAAGTTTAAAGGTAACTATAATTATGTAAAGTCAATTGACCAAGTAAAATGAAGACTAAAACTGGTTGAAATACCAGGATGTGTCATTTTAGACAAACCAAAAATTTTAAACATGCAGTCAACTTATTACTAAAATGATAACTATAAAAAGAGCCATTTCAGGGACACCAGATAAAACATTTATTCTACACAAAAGTAGTGTAGGCAAGTGTTTCAAAAGACATACAGTTTGAAAGACAGGGGTCAAAGAACAAGAACAACTTGAGCAGAGGAGCACAGGAACATCTGGAAAGCCAATGCTCGACAAAGCAAGATCTTTACAAGAGATCATACAATTCATATGGTAGATAAATTGAAACAGAATACAATCTAGTGCAGTATTGATCTTCCTCTGCTGACAGCAGATGTGGAACAGTGCCTTGCATAGAAGCATATTAAATACATCTGATGGAATTAACTTGTCACATTGCTGTCACACACCAACACCCATGTCAAGCATCAAGAGCGTGAGGGCTCCTGATCTTAAAATTTAAATTAAATACTTTGGATGGTTCATTGAACTTACAAAAATAGAGCTTCAGGATAAAAAGATAAAAAACATTCATAAAAACTGAAAATTAAAAAATAGTTGTGCAATTGATAGCTTGCAGCAAGCAGCGAGTTAAAAGGAACAAAAAGGAGCATCAACAATCAGTTCCTTGGATCAAAGCTATTTACATGTATGGTCTACAACCAAAGGCAAAAACTATTTACATGTGCCTCCAACTCACAGCCAAGCACAACTGCTTAAGATGACCACTGGGAGGCACTGTGTACTGTGGCCAGTTGTGTAGGGTTGCTGCCTGGGTCAACAGCACTTCCATCCTCACCATTTCCACTAACTGGCACATAACTAGAGGGGTTGGGGAACTCATAGTGCGTAACAACTGGGGGCAGAGGCCAATTTCCCTGAGGCCTGGTGGACACTTGGGAAGGGGAAAGAGGCCGAGTGTAATTGGGATAGAAGGACTGCGTTTGTGGGGGGCTTTTCTTGAAGACAGCATCTCTGAACTGAGGGTTGGTAAAAAGGTCCTGGTTCAGTATTGGAGCATCTACCTGGAACTGAGAATAAATAGTCAATACATAATGAACATACTAAATAGAAAAAAATGCATTATGCATCGTGTGTATCATCCTGCCTTTAAGACATTATCCCATCTGTTGAAATGCCTCCATAAGAGATGATTTTCTCTGTGTCCAAACTGAGAAAGTCACTACCACTTAAAGACAAGACTTTGGGCAGAGTGGACAAAAAACAAAACAAGTAAATTCAAAGCACATTTATAAATAAAGTAAGTCACCTGAGAATGTGGGGTTGATGCATTCGAAATTCCTGCCGTAATGTACCTCTCCGACACCCAACTGTTATCTTTCTGGTGTCTCTTGAGTTTCATTCTGCGGTTTTGAAACCAGGTTTTCACCTTTGAAAGGGGGAGGAAAAAATAACTTAAACACTGGAAGGAAACTCAATAGCTTAAGCTCATTTAACCTTCGCGTTTTAGAGCTTACCTGCTTGTAGGTAAGCCCAGTCAACCCTGCTAAAGTCTTCATTTCCGCTGGCGTAAGGTATCTCTGAACGTTGAAACGGTCGGTGAGCGCGTTCATCTGACCTTCAGAGAACGCGGTACGGGCTTTGGCTTTGCGGGGCTGCACCGGCAGCTGTTCGGGAGGAGACGGCACGGACAGTGCTGGCACTTCGTCTCCCCCCGCGTTCAAATTCGTCGGCTTCTCCGCCGCCGCCGAGAGGGAGCTGGAAAGAATTTCACCGCCGTCGGGACTACCACTCTCCAACTCATATGGCCGCTCTTTCTTGATCCAGTGCGGGAGGTCGAGGTCGGCTGGGGGGACGCCTCCTTCTCGACTACTACCCGAGCTCCAAGAATCTGTTTAAAAAATAATAATAATAATAATCTTCACACAAATCTCGAGAGACCAGTTTCAAACTTCGCGCTTAACTTCAAAGAGGCGGAGCTACCACATCCCTACTAGCAATTTAGCTACCCTACGTCAACTATGGCTTACTTCGAGAGGGTTATTACTGCTACTGAGTTCTACATCACTGCATATATTCAAAATCCCCAAAATGCAAGTATCTTGTCTTGTAGGTACTACACCCATGTACCCATATACTTCCATAAAATGTTAGCTACACGCTGCCAAATATGGGTCGATTTTGTGGCAATCGCGGTCACATGCCCATTAGCTACCCAGCTAGCTAGCTAAGTCAGTCGACCAATTAACGTTAACAGTTGTCAACCTGGTGTGTGGGCCTCCGAGTCGCTCGGCGTGTCGCTCCCTGTACCAGCTTGGTCCTGGTCTTTCGCTTGTTGGTCGTAATGGACGCGGTTATGCGAGAGGAAAAGCCGCCCGTTCTGCGTGTGCGACTGCGAATCCGAGTAGTACATGACCGAGCTCGGGTAATGTCCGTTAGTGTTGTTGGTCGGGCATTCCGGACTGCCAGGCGGAGACTGCGACGGAGCCTGGGGCGAGTAGAAGCTGCCAGTGACCCCAGCTGCCGGGCCGTACGCGGCCTCCGCCCAGCCCATGGTCGGATGAGTTTGCTCGGGTCCTTGAGGGTACATTAAACCGTAGGCATAAGCGTGGTAAGACGGACTGTAGTTGTAACTCACTGGCATTTTCCAGTCTGCCATGTCTGTTGTACCCCGTAATTAGCTAGGCTAGCTGAAGAGCAAGATGGTATTCACGCTAATTTAAGTATGAATTTCCGCCAACCTAGCAAGCCAATAACTAGAAGGCCTTCAAATGGATACCCAAGCAAAGCTCAAGTCCCTCAGTCCAGGCGTAACACTTTCAGCAGCTTGTCCTCACATATCTGAAGCGGCTCTACTCCATATTAGGGTGGATTTATAAAGCCAGGTGTGGTGGGTGGGTTAGGTGGAGCCTCTCGGCCCAATCAAATGAGGCTCCACGCCCATATTCAGCGCGTTCCTGAGTAATAGAGTGAAAACTCGTGCGTTAAATGGCAACTGTACCGATTATTCAAAAAACATAAACTTAAATGGTTGATATTTAAACAGTGACAGTGGTGGTGATTGGGTGGTTAGTTATATGATATCTGATACATTGTTTTATGATAGATTTGTGATTAGGTTTGGGCTTAAAATGTATTTTAATTTATTTACTTTAATCTATTAATGGTGGAGAGGGACATGCAGGGCAAAATAGTCCCCAAAGGAAACTTTTTTTTTTCACATTTCTGACCATTTTACCATTATCAACAAACATACATACATACCCACATACATACATAATCTAAGCCACTCATCCTTCTGGGTCGTGATAAGAGCTGGAGCCTATCCCAGCGGTCATTGGGCATAATGCCCATCGTCAACATGACATATAAAACTTTAGTTTTACGTGTGAAGTTACGTGTAGATTCACTGGTGGTTTTGGGTAGTAAATAAAGTGGCTATATTTGTGTTGTAAACATGGACAATCCCTGTAACATTCTTTACTATGAACCAGTTTACATCAAACCACTCTGAATGAATTTGTTTACATCTCATAGACTGAATCATACAGTTTTGAATCAAATATTGAAAAAGTATTGGAATTTCTTTTTAAGTTTAAGGTTTATTTGTGCTGTCATCATGGAATGACGTCATGCTAATATATGTCACCATCAAATAATATTTAATAATAATTACTAATTTATTTATAGAGCACTTTCCATTTTAGATTAGTAGATTAGTAAAACAATAGAAAGATAAAATACCATGGTCTGAATTAAATAACAGTACAATTTCACACAAACAAATACATTTTTATTCTGAATTTAAACACATATTGAGATTACGTTTCTAATATTCTCTGGAAAGCTGAAACAAAAAAAAAGATAAAAGAACCTGGCTGAATTTTCCTTCATAGTCTGACAGTTGTGATAGTTAATCATCAATAATCATATTGTATGTTCTTTGTTGGAGGGGGGTCTCAGCAAAAATTTTGTATTTCAGTGTTGTCTTTTGCATCACTAATCTTACATGGATTTAAATTTAAATGCTGGTGTTTGTGAGTTTAAAATTGCTTCATTTTTGTGCCCTAAGAGCTCATTGATAGGACTGATTTAAATGCATGAGTTAAATTTGCCTTAGTATTGTCATGGAAATAAATATGCTTGTAGTTCAATCATTCTGCTGTATTAGAATGGCAATGCTTCAGTTACATGTGAAAATATTCGCTAATTTTAAGACATTTAACCGCTTAGCTGAATTACGAATGTGTGTCAGAAGGTCAGAAGCCGGGGACTCCTGTAAAGTGTTGGTGTAAAGTATGTAGCAAGGTGGAAATCTAATCAAAATAGTAGAAGCTAACTTGCGTTGTTTGTATTACATATTCTTTTTGTTTTTATTTGTTCTAACAATAGTATTCGGATGTGCTATTATTACATTAATGTACTCTAAGTCCATCGATACAAACAAAAAAATGGCAAGCCCTTGAGCATTTTCGCTATACCTAAACATCAGACATGCCTTTAGGTTTGTTCATAATAACGACAATATAAAATTCGTTTTTTTAACAGTAATTAAAGTTTTGTCCATCGAGGCGGGGGTGCACTCTAATTCTGATGGTAAATACATGTGCTAATAGCCCATTAGCACATCATCCTCCCTTACATGTACATACATCAACATGATTGACTTCAAAGCATGAAGTGTTAGTTACCATTCTCGAAAACCTTTTTTGTAGGATAAATAAAAAATAAGATTCTCCACATATGGACGTACTATTCCGTTTACAGTGCTATTTATTCAGGCTACTATAGTGTATTTGCCATCAGTATATGTGAAAGTACGGCTAAATCTCAAATGCCCCCTGCTCCCTATATACACCTCTGTATGGGTTACGCATTGTTGGCTTCTACACCCAGATCGTGCACTATACGTCCAGTAAGGAATTGTGCACACGTGCTTGAACGCCAAATGTCTCCATTTTAGACATATGTAGTGTTTGAGTGCAGGAAATAATATTTTAAGTCCTGCATAGTGCCCTACGTAGGGATAGGGAGCCATTTGTGATTCCGCCTACAACAACAGTCATTGAACCCTCCGTACCAATGTGTAGCGCTATAGCAGTGCTTGCTGCTGTTCTTTAGGAACTACTATCCCTTTAACTGCGCGACTCACGCGAGTCCCTTCCAGCCCGCGTGGTAAGTTTGGAACAGAACTTTAGTAACGGCCGTTAGTCGAATTTTATCTGCTAACGGTTTTCTCTTGTGGAGTCGGTTGGAAACGCCCGAAAAAAGATTCCCCAATTAATAAAACCTGGCGTTTCAGATATATATCATACCCGCTTGGCCCATTTGCGAGCCGGTAACTCGCCCTGTTTGCAGTCTGTCCAGTTGAGCTGGCTCCTGTTATCTTCCCAGCTATAGGTAAAGCTGGTGGTTTGGTTTCGTACAACGCCGTTAGCGTCCTTTTCCGACATGTCAGAAGAATTAGAGAACATCCTGTTTCAACTGACACAGCCTGATAATGCCGCTATTCAGAAGGTACCGAATTGCTTTCAAGTTGAACTGAAATTGAAATGTGCTGTGATTGCTAGCCATGTATTTAGATGTATCTGGATAATTAACGTATTTTAGAGTTCTAGTAAAGTAAATTGCTTGCCATAGGGTGTACATTGCTGTACCTTGTGTTGTTCACCATTGTCATAGCTTGTCACTAAGAAGTGTGAGGTAAAACATCTTTTTTTTGTCATTGTCACCATATATGCTTGCCACACGTGTGTTAACTTGCCCGTTGATGTTTCATATCACCTGACAGGCCACAGCTCAGCTGAAACAGGCTTTTAAAGACCCGGCTATCATTCCAGCATTATGTGCAGTTATGACTGGATCCCAAAATCCACAGGTAGACAGCAGGCTAACCGCCTTTGTTCTCTTTCCTTTTGACAAGCACTAAAGCCATTTAAACTCTGTCACATCAGTTGCTGTGTCCAGTATTAGGAGACCTTGATTAACACTTTATTCTCTTTGTTTAGATCCGGCAGTCTGCTGCAGTGATGTTGAGAATGAGAGCAAAGAAACACTGGAAGAAAATCAGTCCAGACCACAGAGAGAGGTTTAGAGAGAGATTTAAATTCAGTTTTTATTCATCTTGGCATTTCATATTTCAGATCATGAGGTAACCATACTGAAATGCTTTTTTTTCCCCTCAGCTTAAAGGCAGTGGTGCTGCAAGCATTCCACCAAGAAACCGAGTAGGTCTAGTTAATCAGTTCATTAGACCCTCACATCATTTCTATGTTTGGACTTTTTTTACACAGTCCAAGACAGCAGTAAACTTAACATACGTGTACTTCTGTCCTTTTCAGGCATGTAGTCCGTCACTCTCTCTCTCAACTGAGTGCAGTGATGGTGAAACATGAAACACCTGACCGGTGGCCTGCCCTACTCACACTGCTAAATGAGTCCACCAAAAGCAACAATCCTCAGGACAGACAGGTATGTTCACATTTGTTAAAACAGCCTAGATGTTTAAACAATGCAGGTGAGTATTTAACCATGTCCCATTAATGGTTCTCCACTATGGCTTTAAAATGTTGCAGGACATATTTCAGTATGCAGCAGTATTATCACAACTGATATTTTGCCCATATGCAGCCCTAATTCAGAGCTTTACTGTGCAAGTTCTCAAGAAATTTTCCTACAATGTCTTAGGAAAGACAATGTTTTTTATTGTTCTGGGACCTTTTGTGATACATGGTGCTGTGTGTATTTTTCTGTAATTGGGCATTTTTTCCCAGGTGGGTCTGCTGCTGCTAAGCAAAGTAGTGGACTCCAATCCTGAGGCCTTCAAGCCTCACTACAAACAACTGCTCCAGCTGTTTGGCAGCGTGCTTCAGGATGTGACTAACCCCACTGCTTCGTACTACTGTATCCTTACACTCACTGCCATTACAGCTTACACAGGCACAGAGGAGATGGTGAGTTTTGTCTGGTTTAGCTCTGTTTTTGTTACAGTGAATGAATTTTTCTCTAAGTAAAATTGAGTAAGCTCATTTAGCTGAACCATTAGTAAGATTATTTTGATGTACACTTAACTTGTGTAGTGTAGCACTTTTCCCCTGTACTTTTATGTTTATGTTTATGCAAGAGACATAAACACCTATAGAAATTTTGTGTGAACCTGGGGTTGTTAAGGACTATTTTCATTTCTTTTGTTCTCTGTTTTTCAGAATCTGATGCGCTCGTTGATTCCCAGACTGATAATTGCTCTGAAACAGCTAATCCAGGCTGACCAGGTCAGGCTTCTTTACAGGGCTTATGTATGTTAATGTACTCATCAGTCCCTTTGTTGACCCAAATTATGTGCTAAAGACAAATAAGGACACTCCTTTTTGTGCTCTTTTAGCTATTTAGAAGTGTAATTCAGCATACTTGAATCTGTTCAGCATCACTGACTTTATTTGATGCTCTCTTCTGTATTTGACTTTTTTTGTTGGTTCATTTTGTAGAATCAGGCTGGTGAGGCAATGGAGGTGTTTGATGAGCTGTTGGAGAGCGAAGTTTCCATTGTGGTCCCACACATTGCAGAGGTTGTTCGCTTCTGTTTGGAGGTAGATATCAAGAATCTCACCTTTTTACCCATGGAACCTAAATCTGTGATTGTTTTCTAATTAGATTAATGTTGGTATTGTGGTCACATAATGTGCATGTACAAATTAGACCTTGAATCAGTTTTTAATGTTTTTGCCTTTCTATTTAAAATAGACAGTTCTAAACTTAGGTACAGCTTAAAATTTTACCCTTCCAGATAGCTTTTACCAAAATGGTGCATTCCCACTTAATGGGACTTACTCTCGTCAAGTCTGGGCAAGCTCGCCAGCGAAAGCTAACCCAACAAGCATAGCCTATTATGATAACTGGTTCACCACGTGTGAACATGGGTTACCAGTAGGATTCTATTGGATTCTCTAAATCTGGGAAAGTTTGTGTGTGCAGGGTTGAACTTTTGCAGTTCTTACCACTGTTGTGTATAATGTTAGTTCTGTGTGAATGACTGGGAGTCTTGGACAGAGTGATGTCATTCCCATATGCTTATTAGAATATTAAGCCACATTAACAGTTCTCAGGTAAGTCTAATCAGCGAATTCAACTGTTTTATCTTATTTCCTTGTGTTTAGGTTAGCTCAGATGTTTCACTCTCTGATTCTCTGCGTGTCAAGGCTCTGTCTTGTATTGCCCTCCTCATTAGACTCAAGAGCAAGGTACCTTTTTCTATGTATTCATCATGTTTACATTTGAATCAATTTTAGGAAATGACTTGAGAGCCCGCAATCATGAATGCAGTGTATAAGATTACATTTGCTCTTCTTTACCCCCTTATTCCAGGCCATGCTGAAGCAGAACCTGTTGGCTCCGATCCTGCAGGTGGTGTTTCCTATTGTGAGTGCAACGCCACCCCCTGGAGAGGAGGACCCAGAAGATGAGGAGAACAGCGATGGCAATAATGACAGTGAGAGCCCCAAACACTTTGCTACTCAGGTGTGTCTTTTTATCATTATTAGTATTGTATGTCAGTAAAACCAAAAATTCTGGTTGTTTCTTAAGCTGTCTGTCTCCGTTTTGCAGGTGATTGATACAATGGCTCTTCATATGCCACCAGAGAAACTTTTCAAACAACTGGTTAGTAAGAACATGAATATACACTATAGGATGTTACCCAACTATTACATTTATTTAAAAAAATTAACATATAAAAACATAAAAACCATAGTCACATGCATGTTTGTCACCTAATGTTAGTTAGTAATTATTACTAAATTATTAGTTATAATAATGGTTATTATTGTAACTATTCACCTTCCTTTCTGCTAGATGCCTCTAACTCAGGCTTGCTTGGCCAGTGAAAACCCATATCAGAGAAAAGGAGGACTCTTGTGCTTAGCAGTGTTGGCAGAGGGCTGTGCAGACCACATTCGTACCAAGTAAGCTTTATTCCATTGCTAATCAAAGCATTTTTCCTTGCAAGGAAAAATGTCTGTAAAAGTGTGTATGTGTGTCTCACAGGATGCTGTCATCTGTGCTGCAGACTGTGTGTCGCAGTTTATCTGACAGTAACCAGGTGGTACGCAGTGCAGGCCTTTTTGCTCTGGGTCAGTTCTCTGAGCACTTGCAGGTAAGAATATATGTATGTATTCAAAACCATACAGGCTATACAGTGGGCTGCAGTCAGTATTTGTATACCTACAAGTTGGACCTGTATTTTAGGTGTACCTGATAAAATGCAATAAATAAAATTCAAAATTTGATTTGATGCTATACAGAGGTGTTTCAATACAATGCATTTTTCAATACAGTGAAAATAAAGAGTTCTTGAGCTCTTTTTTTCTCTCTGTATTCACATGTTAATGTTAATGTATCAAGATTAAAATTATTTTTTTAATCTAAGTTCTTTTAATGCTAAAATTAATGATGTAGAGTTCTGTTTATACAGCTCACATATTGTTTTGACTCAGATAAATAAAATTCTCATGTCATGCTACCTTCTAACAGTATAACCCCTAGAATTTATGATTGATTCATAAAAAGCCTAGTCATCTGAGTGTGGGTGCATGCATAACATAAGCCCCTCTCTGCCTACTTCACTCTGATAAGATGCACCCAGATGCCTCATTGACAGTGGTTACCACAAAAGACAGTAAATGAGAGTTTTAAATTTGAGTTTACTGTTTCAAATTAGATTTTTTGATACATATTGAAATCATTACACCCTTGCTTGAAAATGTGCTTATTTAATATGGGCCTTGCTTTGTATCTCTTGTAGCCTGAAGTCAGTAAGTACCACACAGAGCTGATGCCACTGTTACTAGGATACATGTCCTCTCTGAATGAGGCCAAAATTGGCCATGTCACCAAGGCTTTCTATGCCCTCGAGAACTTTCTAGAAAACCTGGGTATGAATACACCACACTCTTACACAAAACCTAAGACCTTAGCTAAGGCTCACTGCTTTTCACTGTTTCTTTCTTTTCTGATCAGATGATGATATAGAGTTCTATCTTCCCACTCTTATGGAGACCATGCTGTCAGCCCTTAACAACACAGACAACCTCAAACTAAAGGAACTTGCTGTCAGTGCTATAGGAGCTATAGGTAACAAGTAGATGTCTAAATAGATCTCTACCTGTGAATATATCTCCACTGTAATTTTTCTCTGTCATTAATTGCATTAACTGTTATTTTATTATCACTCACATGTTTCTGTTTTGGTTTTTTTTTCCACATCCTCTTTATGTGTCTCCTCTTTCAGCTAATGCTGCCAAAGAGATGCTAGTGCCCTATTTCCCCCCTATAATAGAGAGTTTGAAGGGTTTCTTGACAGACATACGGGAGGAAATGAGGCCATTGCAGACCCAGGCCTTAGGTAGGGATCATAAGAGACACTTTTTCTCCTGGTTATGTTGCATTTCTCTTTTCAAAGTTGTAATCAACTTTCACTCTTCTCATTCACCCCCCAGACACTCTGTCTGTATTGGCCCGAACCATTGGTAAGGATGTGTTCAGTCCATTGGCTGCAGAGTGTGTGCAGCTGGGTCTGAAGCTCACTGATGCTGTGGATGATCCTGACCTGCGGCGGTGCACGTATGAACATTAGCAATTGTCCATTTTTATCTTACCCTGTTCTTTTTAATGTTTTTTTGGGTATGTTCACTGTCATTAACCTATGATATTTCAAAAGATGGCAGTGTTGTGCCATTTAAACCATTACAAAGTATTGGTTTATTTATTGTGGTGTGGTGTGGTATTGGTATATATCTGCCTATCAAATTTGTCTCTGTCTATATATCTTACCTATTTACCCTTTCACCCATATGTCTTGTCTGTCTGTCTGTCTGTCTGTCTATCTATCTATCTATCTATCTATTTATCTATCTATTTATCTATCTATCTATCTATTTAATCTGTCTGTGTTATCTGTCTATTTACAGGTATAGCTTGTTCTCAGCTGTCTCAACAGTCAGCCCGGAGAGTCTTAGTCCTCATCTTACTGCCATCACCACACTGATGCTAATGTCACTAAAATCCACAGAAGGTGTTACGGTTAGTACATCCATCCATCAGGAACTCCAAACTGTTGATGCCTATAGCTCACTAAAAAGAGATCACAATAGCTTGCAGAATACCACTTTGTCGTTTCCGATACTGGTATAGAAAACAATTTGTTTCTTTTAAAAACTACTAAGCTTTAATCAAGCTATTTTTCGTTGAAACACTTCATTCAAGAAGAGCATGTAAAAGTAACCTGTCATGCTCAAATTACTCAAACATTCTGTTACTCCATAGGACAAAATACACAATACAATGTATGTGCTATTTCAGAAAAGATTTGTACAGGATTATATAATTTTTGTATATTTTATTTATTTGTTTATTTTTTTTGTTTTGTTTTTTTCTCCCCCTATGTCCAATCCAGCATTTTCTGCTGATATTGGCCCTGTACCGATGCCCATCGATACCGATTCTAGTAATGATAAATCAGAAAATGCCAAGTGCAGTGATTCATCATTATCAGTTTATATCCGTACATTAAAAATTTAGATATTGGCATTTTATATGTTAAAGCAATGGCCGAAAATCACATTTAAATCAGTCCTCTATGGATTGAGAAATAACACAGGCTGATATATAACATACTGTTATATATATTTTTTGTTATACACACAGTAAGAATATAAATAGAGGCTGTGTTTTTAATGCCATTATCACCATTATTCACAGGCTCATGTTGAGGAGGACAAGCAGTTTGTTCTTCTGGATGATGAGGATAATAATGACGAAGAGGAAGATAGTGTGTTGGAGGAAGATGGAGAGAATGAAGTGGAGGATGTTGCTGGGTATTCCTCTGTCTCTCTCTCTCTCTCTCTCTCCTCTCCCTCTGTCTCTCTCTCTCTCTCTCTCTCTCTCTCTCTCTCTCTCTCTCTCTCTCTCTCTGTCTCAAACACTCACTAAAATGGTAACAGTATGAGGCGGAAGATGATGCTGAGTGTGTTCTCTCTTGCTCTCTTTGAACACTGAACCGAATCTGTAGGTTCAGCGTGGAAAATGCATATATTGACGAGAAAGAAGATGCTTGTGATGCCCTGGGAGAAATTGCCTTCAGCACTGGGTAAAGAGCTTTAACATTTTTACATAATGCACACACTTGTTCTTGCTTACTATCAGCCAGAAGCAATCATGTACAACTTAAGGAAATTCAGCAAATTTATCACTCTTTCACCCTTGGTTTTGCTTTTGCTACCACATTCAAACCATTAAAACATGGAGTTGTGAGCCACAGCTCTAATGTAGTGAATATACCCTCACATAGAGACACAAACTAATGGTCTGGGTTCTCCCTCTCTCAGTGTTGCTTTCCAGCCATTCCTAGAGTCAAGCTTCGAGCAGGTCTACGAGCTGCGTGATGTAAGTTGCTGATTGTGCTCCCCTCAAGCTGACATGTTAGTGTGTATACATTTGAGGGCACTCGGGTTTTTGGCCGTGAAGTGCAGCTTTTGTATTTTAAGTGAGCGTGAGTGTAAACGTATGTGTGAGAACTATGTGAATGTTTGCTGCAGTGGCTTGACAGACTGTTGTTCGTGCTTATGGTTATCTATTATTTATCTATTCCTTTCTTTGTTTTTTGTTTTGTGTGTTAGTTCCCACATGAAGATGTGAGGAAAGCTGCGTTTGGTGCCATGGGCCAGTTCTGCCGTGCTCAGCACAAAGTCTGGCAGGAAAATCCTACTGAAGCCAACCACCAGGGTATACCTCACACACCCACACCACACCCTGTTTTCAGCCCACATATTGTCTGTCATGGTCTCCCCCTTTGTCTTTTTGTCCAGCCAAGTCCCTGGACATTTTGGCACTCTCAGCGAGACACTGTTTTAATGCTCCATCTGTGGATGTTGCTTGGTTACATTGTATTGCTTACACAGAATCACATGAACTAAAGAACATGCACATGTAATGCTATTACATTTGCCTGGCATCTCTCTGATTGATGGTACAAGGAAGGAAATCCTATTTAGAAGCTGAGAAAACTAGTTTCATGCAGGCTTCATCATCATCAATTAACATGGGTGCACACTTTTTAAAAATTGTGATGAGTTTATTGTTACAGATTGTTGCAAAACAGCAACATTTATTTGCATAGTTTTTATATCACACATTATTTATACCTAATTTTTTTTATCTATTATCTCTCTAAACTGTATCTCCTTTATGAGTTTTCCAAAATAATAATGAGTAATTTCTGAGTAAAGCTTCAGTAAACTAGAAATCCCTCTAGTTAATTACCTCCACTGATCGTCATCTGCCTAATGAGTGATGGAAGTGTGTCTCTGTGCAGTGCTGCATAAGCTGCTTGAGGTGGTGCTGCCTTGCTTCCTGGAGGTGGTGAAGCAGGAGCACGAGCGGCAGGTGGTCATGGGAGTGCTAGAGGCTATGAATGCTGTCATCAAGTCGTGTCAAGGGGAGGCGTTACAGACCCCAGGCAGATTGGCGGAAATCAGCCACGCCATCAGAGATGTGCTGAAAAAGAAGGTGAGGGCTCCCAACTTGCATTGTAAGCTGGTCCACCAGATGCTTTCTTTCTTTTTGTTTTACAACTTAATATTAGTCACTAGTTAGGTTTCCATCAACTTTATACAAGCGATTAATTGAAAACAAACAAATTACAGTAAATTAATTAGTTATAATTCTTGCTGTAAATCCTGAAAGGTGATTGAGTCAAATGTGATCGTGATTGTTAGTTTGTTGTGTACGAGAGCATATAGTGAAAGTGATGTTGGATGAAAAATTCATGCATAATTGCATTATCTAGTCAAAAAAAGTGCTATAGTTTTTCACATTTTAAACATCTACAAAAATTTGTCCACAGATATATGAACAGAAAAAAATTTTGGAATGAGGAGTTTAACATGGAACCCTGCTCTTGGGTTCACTCTTTGTCTCTCTTTCATAGACTGTTTGTCAGGATGGAGGAGGGGATGAGGCAGATGATGATGAACAACAGGTTGTCCTTAGCTTCTCCTTGGGCTCTTGCACCAACCACAAAACATTATACATTAACAACATAAAATTTGGGGTTTCATTGTCTAGAATGACAAGATCTTTCTAAAATTGTGTGTATCTGTGCGTTTTAGGCAGAGTATGATGCCATGCTGCAGGAGTTTGCTGGGGAGGGAATTCCTATCCTAGCTTCAGCTGTTCCTGCAGAGACCTTCTATACTCACCTCAATGACCTACTTCCTCTCGTTATGAACAAAGCTGTGAGTCTATTTCCCCTTTCCTTTCTCTCTTAAAGAAAATGAAGCTGCACATGAGTAGCATGCCTTTTCCAAAGTAAAACCGTTTTTTGTCTCTTCTGACTGGCAGAAGCCTTCCTGTACTGTGGCAGACCGCTCCTTCTCTGTTGGCACACTTGCTGAGACCCTGCACTCCCTAGTAAGTGTGGCTGGAGGCAGGGCAGTTGCAGGACGCCTGTCCAATCGCCTGCTGCCTGTACTTGTGGCTGGGGTTAAAGACAGCGATGCAGAGGTGCGCAATAACAGTGTGTACGGCCTGGGAGTCCTTGCTCAGGCTGCTGGACCCATCGTCTCCACGTATCCTTCACAGATGTGTGTGTAATCTTAGTCAGATTACAACTCACCTTTCTGCATGTGAAAAAATATCTTTAAAAAAAAGTCTTTACAGGTTATGAAAAAGGATGAAAAAAGCATAAGATCAATTTTGCAAAAAAGTTGAAACCTTAGATTGCATTAAAAAGCTAAAATTCTTTACAGTTGAAATAATTACTGAAAGATTGAATGTAAAGCTGTAATGTATAAAAAGGAACGTAATTTAAATGTCTGTTACAAGCTTCACATTTCAGTGTTCGAGTTGAAACTGCTGTAAGTGTGGGAAAAGGAATGTACAGCACTGCAGGCTCTGTGCTAACAAACACAGCATGTACCATAGCGCTAGTGAAAACTAGCATTATTAAAGCAAAGTGGTAATTGTGTTGTATTGTAACCAGGGTAAGGTTTCTGTATTAAACACTGCTATATAATGAAATGTGTGGCTTGCACATGTTAAGATGAAAAACTTTATAAAATGAATATCCCAAAGCAGCAATACAGTTCTCTCAGAGGCTATATGCAGCTACCATGTGTTTAGATTCAGACACTTTGGCACCTCCTTAACTCTGTCCCACAGTGATTATCCCATGATGCTATCTCTGTTTTCCAACCTACTATCCAAAGAGTCAGACAGAAGAGTGATCGACAATCTGTGTGCAGCTTTGTGTAGGATGATCATGAGCCATACAGCGGGAGTTCCACTCGAACAGGTATTGGAGTGATTTATGGCCATATATCAGTTAAGGTTATCATTTGGAGACCAGAAAAAGAATTTCCCCTTATTTTTGCAATTGATTCAAACAATAAATTTGTGCGCATAACTGATGGTATCTTGCACATCAAAGCAGTCTTTCAGATGGTGACATTTTTTAGGCTTTGTTCAATTTTTGCAAACTTTTGCAGGTGACATGAACTCACTCAACCAATCACAAACATCGAAAGCTTTAGTTTGCCCACTGCTTTGGAAAGCAGGCTGCTTTTCAAGTAGGCTTTCCATAAAAAAAAAAGTAGCTTGCCCCAAAAAAACTATGTGCCTGTTTTGTGAGAATTGCTAAAAGATACAGTGGCAGTGTATTTAGTTTTGGTTTGAAAAAAGCATGTCTCAACATTTTGCATTTTTGTGTTGTTTATTTGCATCGTGTTCAGCGTGTAACGACTTTTGCTCCAACACTTTAATGTGTGAAATAATTATATAACCCTTATTTGAGTGATTATTCGAGTCAGGTGTGTTGGAGCAGGGTATACAGAATTCTGTGGTAGGTGATACTGGTAGGTCTGCCTTAATTAAGCAAGGCTGGGAATGTAAATTGTATTAATTAGTTAAAAGTCTGAATGGAAACAGGAGATTGAATTTAATCATCTGTTTTGCCTAAATTGTATATACTCTTCCATTCCCCAGGTGCTTCCTGCTCTTCTAGATCGTCTTCCATTGCAGGAAGACATGGAGGAGAATAAGACAATCTACAGCTGCCTGGCTTTTCTCTACTCCCACAACCCAAACCTGGTAATGGTCTGTTCATTCCTAGAACGTGATGTGCGGCTCATGCTGTCCTAGTTAGAAATTAGTGTTAATCATCCTTTTCAGCTGGATATCTTTGGTGGACTGCTCTTGGCCCAGCAGGGAGCCCATGTCTTTTAAAAAGACCAGTAACACCGCTGTGCCTGATAATGTGCGTTACACTGATAAAAGACTAACATGTCACTACCATGTTGGTGTCACTGCAGTGCTGAGAATGGTCCACCACAAATTATATCGTCAACTGCGGTTGAGTGGTGGCGGGGGATGGGGATGGCTGTATATAGTTAGAAAGTAAGCTCATATGTGGTAGGTGACCTGATAAAATGGTCAAGGAGTGTAAGTACAAGGTAAGTGAACCTAATAGTCTGGTAACTCAGTGTAGTAAACCCTGTTATTTCTCATTTCTCACAGATTATTACCCATATGAAGCCAATACTGTCTGCTGTAACTCATGTCCTGGGAACTAAGGATATTGATGCAGGTGAGTGTGGTGGGTTTGTGTCCTTATAACGGTAATTGCTGCAAATTCAATGCTAATTCTTCTTGGTTTTTTTATCTTAGACACCCAAAACACCCTGGTCGTGTTACTCAGAGACATCAGCCAACGATACCCCCAGGAATTTGAGAGTGCTGTGATGTCACTTCCTGTTGAGCGGAGAACCAAGATGTCTGCAGCTGTTCCTCAGTCATAGCCGCTCACTGAAGTGAAGGCCAGCCCATATAGGATAACTACATGAAAGTTTATTCATGTAAATTAACCAAATGCACACTTCAGCACTTCCCTACTAAACTTTTTTTCAGCAATGATATTCAGTGTTATTTATTTCATTTATTGTTAGTTTGATTTATTTTTTTTTTAATTAACTGTTTATCTCCAAGTCTGATCTTCTGCTTCCCTAACAAATCCATAAGATTCTGGATTATTGAGTGTAAAGTTATGAATTAACCTTGCAGTGACAAATTTTTTCATCCCTGGACTGCATCACCTGCATATTGAACACTCTTAGCAATGCTTCCACTGCAACTTATTGTTCTAAGGAGATACTCCATTCATTTGTATGGAAAAAAAGACTTTATTTATGAAACACATTTTGAATTTTAAAGGCAAAAATGCATAGTAGCTCTTATGGACTACAGATGTTTTATACAGCATGTTCAAAAAATTGAATATCCAGAAGCTTCATCTCCTGGTTTACATAATAGTTCCAGTTTTTGGTCTGTTTCACACAATTTAATCTTTTGTGTTCAGTTGTAAGTGTTCATTGTTCATTTTGCTTCAGCAGGCTATACATGATCCAGCAAACCCTTGACATACATGATGCTAAGAATGAAATTAAAATAAGCTTAGGCTGAAGGGATGGAGATTGTTGGAGGTTTGTCTGTTTCTTTACATGCAATTCTAGCAATGAATTGTGACCACCTTCTGTTTTTTGTTTTTGTTTGTTTTTTGGAATGTTGAAGATTATTCCTTCAACTGGCTTTCCACCCAAACCAGGACTCAATAAAGTCCCTGATATAATAGCATGTCTGTATGCAGGCAGTGTTTCAGTAATGACTAGGTATAGCCAATGGGATCTTGGTAAAATAGCTGCAAGTTTGAATAGCAAGGCCCTGAAAAATGCATTGTGGTGTTAGATTGCTTTGGCTGACTTTTACTGTCTGTCTTCTCATTTCATCCTTGGCACCTCTGTTGTCTCCTTCTGTGTCTGTGTGTCCAAAGCTAGGGTCATCTCTATTGGCTGGAGGCCATTTTCAGCTGTACAAAAAAGAAAGATAAGATGTGTAATTTGGAAACTTTACACAGCCATACACCCGTCCTGATCAAATGCATCTCGTGGTCCTACAGTGGGTGAATACCAGACACACTGAGTAAGCTGCAGAATGTGGTGGGTTAGCTCACCTCACACAGCAGAAGATACCATTTTATAACTGACTGTGACATGATCTCAGGAGGAAACCAATCATTGCTTCAGAGATTGACACTGCCATGAAAACTGACTTTAGAGACTGCTGTCATTCTTCAGGTCACAGAGAGTTTGAGGTCATGAAAGAAATGGTTTTCCTTATGATTGATTCATATTATATTATCCTTATGGTTAATGCAGTTTCACATGAGGGTTTTGGAGGTCAGTGAATGGTCAAAGTGACAGTATATTATTTTATGGTGTAATTAGTCTGCACCCTTGACAAGCAATTGATGGAAAATGGCTTACTAAGATAAGGAGAAGAGCGTAATTGAGCTTTAAGCATCAACCCAGCAGCCCTGAATTTCAGTTATTTTATAAACTATTGGGATCTCTGATAATATCTCAATCAATGGCTTCTATTGTGTGTTTTGAGTCAATAGGTTCTTTTCTAAGTTCAGGGAAACATCAGAATTATTGTCTATGGTATAGTACACATGCAGCACTCTTTTTAGTACCATTCTACTTTAAGTTCAGTTCCAGCATTGGAACAAATAAATACAATTTAGCCATGGTCTGGTGCTTGATCAAGCTAGCTCAACAACTATTTTACAGTTGTTTATGTCGAGTATTACTGCTGTACTTCTTGAATTCTCTTTTCATCACATATAAAGTGGTGGCATTTCTTTCATAATTAAATCTAAAACTTTACGTGTTTTACAAAATAATGACAAAATTATTACTAACCTTAATGTTGAATTACTTTTCTCTCTTTAACCTTTCCCAATTTAAATTCTTATGCTTACTAAGAAAATGAGAAACAAAGATGGCAAAGTTTTTGTTTTTCTCCCAAACTTGTGAAATAAAATAGGATATTCAAAAACAGTGTACCTGCTGTGACTTTGTTAAGGGTTAAATAAAAAAATCTTTGAAATTTAAGAAATTTTGTCTAGCATACTCTCATCACTATATTAGAAACCTTTGGGTTTCTGCTTATTGGTCACTTTATGAGTGCCACCTGCTATAGTGAAGCCCTTTTTGGTACTATGTAGAACCATGTTTAAAAAATTGTACATCATGGGGAAGAATCATTTAACCGTACAAAGGACCTTTTATGTATCTCGATGGTTCTTTTAGTGTTTACACACCAACAGATGGGCTACAGTGTCTGTACACCAGCAAGGTAGGAGGTTGTAATAAAGTGGCCAGTGAGTGAATTTCTCTTATTCCTTATTTTCCTCAAAAGTGAGCTCCTGTTCCTCACCTGGTTGAGTGTTTATCCAGGGCAGAATGTCTACCCCGCTACGGCAGTAGGCGCGGTCCGTGTGGGACTCCGTGCTGTAGAGGACCTCCTGGCACTGGGCCTGTCCTAGGGGTTGAGCCTTCACCCGCACCTCCAGCACCGTCACTTCTTTCTCCTTCAGCTTCCCCGATTTGCTCCTTACTTGCGTGCGCTTGGAGTCCACCCACACCACACGTTCCTTTACTGCTGATCTACAAGTCAGCATACACAAATACATTCTTAAGAGTGCCAAAAATGCTCAGAAGTAACAAATGGTGATGGTCAGCGTATAACACTTCACACGTCATTGACATTCTTGCCAAAAAATAAGCAGCAAACAAACAAGTTATTTATGTCTTGAGTGTCACTAGTCATTTGCCATTTACTAAATCTGGTAAATTGTGACTGTCATCATCTGCAGTAATGTAGATTTTGCACTGAGTACTCACTTTAATGCAAATGAAAGGCATGAAGATCAAATTAAAGTGCAAAAATTTGCATAATACAAAACTAGACTATTTGAGGTAATTTAGCTCTTTATGCTGTTTCTAAATTCTCACGCAAAGACACTGATGCACATTGGAGTTTGTTAATCATTGTCACAAAACGTCTTTGCAATGTTGATATCAGTCCTCTAACCCTATTACTAATCACAGTGGGTGTTGTTGTGTGCTGTGAGCTGGAACTTTGATTCAGCAATGTATTTTTAATATATTGCAAGGCATTTCACAGTCACAGTATGGATCAATATAATCACAATACTAGTATTTTTTCCATTTCTCTTGTGCAGCAGTAATGAACAGAATAATATCTACTCACTCTTCAATGCCCAGGTCAGCAAGTGTGGTGTTCAAGAAAGGAAAATTCTGGTCATGGCTGATGACCTCAATGGGCAGAGACACACACATTGGAATCTCCTTCTCCACCTCAGTCCGTACCAGTTTGTCATCGAGGCAAGAGTCCGAAGAGCTTTCCCTTGAATCGCCATTCACCTGAGCTTCCTGAGGTGGCCCCCCATCCCGGGGCTCCTGCTCAGTCTCCTGGCCTGCCAGCTTGACCAGCTAGTAGATACTGAAGGCTTAAACTTTGTTTTTCTCTCCTGTTGTCCAGTCAATTCTATGGGTATCCTAAGCAGCGTTGCATCGGCAGTCTGATCAGCTCAACAATTGATTTCAACAAACCAGGAGTTGATTTCTTCTATTAAAAGTTGTTTGTAGAGGAGCTGCAAAAAAGCTGGTTCCTTTCTCCTTCTCCTTCTTTTCAGAACTTGGAGGTTGTGTCGGGGTGCCGAGTCAATCTGTGAGACATTCTGAAGCCCGTGCAAATTTAAATGGCCAGTGTGAACGTGTGTAATGTTGTACTGACCTGTGAGGTTTATTAGGCTGTCAGATTCAGATAAATGAGAGCAGGAGATGTTTTTATGTTTATGCATGTTGACGGGTGCTTCATGTCCACATTGTGTTTGTGTTTGTGCTCATTCCAGCAGACTCCCTTCATAAATCACTGCCACAACAAAATGAATTACTTAAGTCATCTATAGTGCCATGCATTCCATTTACGTAACTTGTTTGCATCTTTCAGCGCTACCAAGTCTCTTTTTCAAAATCCATGGGTATATTTTTATGCTGGCCCTTATTCACGGAGTGATTTAAGGTCATTAACAAATATAATTTTAGTTTTTATATCACCTCTAAATAAACCTTAAATCTAATTTGTCATCCATCTCTGCTAAAACTGAAAATGTAAACGCTGTTTCCAGCACCTATTGTACATGAACAAATCAGTAGAAAATGGCATGAGAGGAAATGTTTTAACTTATCACATAGGTGGGGTTAATCGTAAAAGACTAAAGGGGCTAGTTGTGACATTTCCTAGAAAGGTCTGCAAACATATTTAGCTCTATAAAGTTCCATGTTGTTTGAACCTGACAAACTTTCCAACCTAAATAAAATAATATACTATGTACTATATAAACATATATACATCAAAAAATATATGATTCGTGAAAAGCGACTATTTTAAATACTGACAAATTTCTTTTCAACCACAAAGAGTATTTGTAAGTACCAGCATAAAATTAAAATGCATTTTATATACAGTACTGTGCAATATCAGAGACCACCCTTTATTTATTTATTTTCATTCAAAACAGCCATTAGGTAGAAGTTGTTCATTTTTCAGTAAAGAAGCAGAAAACATATAAAACACAGAATTTTTATGTGTATATTTAGTGTGCCCACCCTTTGCCTTTATAACAGCTTCCATTCTATTTAGGATACTTTTTTAGTTTTTTAAAGATCTTCCAAAGTTCAGTCTAAGAAGTTGGTTGCAAATGTGTGACCCCACACACATTTAGTAATGTTGAGATCTGGGCTCTGGGGTAGTCAGTTGTTCTTGGTCCATTGTTCTGAGAACACCAGCCGCTTCTTTGTTTGATTTTCTGCATAATGGCTTCTTAAGAGCTGGATTTTTTCAGATCTAAAGCCAGGGTGGATCTTGATTTTCTCTTGTATCTCAAATATGAAAGCTTTAAGTACTGTTTATCTGATGATGACAGTTTTGGTGGTTTACCAGGTCTTGCATGGTTGGTAGGAGTCCCATTTTCTTTACATCTTTTAAATTTTTTGACTCAATTTTTGGAAAACCCAGTTGTTTTCATTTATTTTCCTTTGATGTTCCATTTCCTTATTCATGTGTATTGTTTTATATCTAAAGTTTTAGAAATATCTCCTGAAAAATGAATAAGTTGTACTTAATTGCCATTTTGATTGGAAAATAAATAAATAGAGGGTGGTCTCTGACTTTTGCACAGCACTGTATACAACATCTATTGTGTATCTTTGATAAATCTGCATAAAAAGTTCCAAAAGTTGCAGTTTTGAATCTGTGCGGATCATTCTGCAGAATTGGTTCAAAGTCAAAGTTGAAAACACATTTCTGACTTTTAATTGGCTTAGACTTTAGACTAAAATTTATTTTGCTTTGAGTGTAACTCAAAAATGCCAGTAAGCTTTAAACAGTTATATACATAAAATAATACTTTTTATTAAAACACACAAATATTTAGCTTATTACTATCTCAATTAATGTATTGATTTTACATAGATCATAATATAACCCTTGTAAATATTTCACAACTGAATGTTTAACTGTTTTTTTTTTTTGTATTTTGTTTTTACTGTGGAGCCTTAGTTTGAACTAATTCGGTAACATGATCCATATAGCAGGATATGGTTTCTCATGTTTACTTCTGGAGGCTCACTTGAGAGTTGCTACAGGCCCTGAGGGGGTAATTAAAATAATATTGGTGTGAATTCCCTAATTTATAAACAGAACTCATTAGTCCCAAAATGTTTATGACAGAAAAGTTATTTTCATGCCACAAAACAGGCTTCCCCTAGTGCTTCAGCCTTATTTCTTCAGGTCTGGCTTCTACTATAGGCCTAAGTGTCTTTTAAGTCAGCAGGGTTTCTGTTGTATTCTGAGAACAGGGAAATGCACCAAAAATAATTATCCATGAGAAGCACTGGCATCTCTGCTGAAAAGACCTATAGAAACCAATGAGTGTTTCTGTTGGTTCCTAATATGTTTGGCTTTTTAATGGGTTGATATCATTGGTTTAAGAGGTGACCCATGTCTGATTCTAAATGCATTTGATGGATTCCTGATGGGATCTAAAGATATTCTACAGGAAACTAGTGGATTCTAATGGAAACAATTAGACCAATTTCCACTAGTATAGTCCTTTTTTAGCAGGGATGCTGGATGTGGTGAATAGAGATTAGATTGGATGCTGGAGTATTCCTTTAACCTATATACATACTTAAATAGATCCTGCACTCTACAGATAAATGTTTTATTAGACATGGCAGAGTTAAACAAGGTAATTTTATCCACTGTCTTATTCTGTTTCATGAGACTTAAATGTAACAGATGAGTGATTTACTGTGCGCTGACAGCAACAAGCCACATTTTAATCACCCCAGGAAACATGTTGCGCCCATAACTCTGCCCTGTGTTCATGTACATGTCACATGTCATGGTCATGTATGGAATCTCCATGGCCCTTCTGCCCTGTTTTCAGCTGGCCAACGACCTTTTGAATATTTAGCTACTTATTATGTAAAGTTCTAGTAATGCGGAAAAGACTGAATATGAATAGCTCTCTGTAAGGGATAATTGTTCTGTGGATTTATTTATCAGGAAATAAGAATGTGTAGAAGAATCTCTCTGGCAGATGGGCTGAAATTGTTGCACATGAGTATGAAGGGTTGGGATAAGATACCATCAGAGAACAGCTGTGTGTGGACTGTATGAGGTTTTTGGAAACAGAAAAGTAAAAGTTTAAAATTGGACTTGCAATTAGGACAAATGCACAGTAAAATAAAGCAAACGCCAGGTGCCCTGCATTACAGTGATTTTTACCACATTAGGCAGGACTAGAAGTGAATCAACTAAAAATTTTATTTATTATTATGATAATCACAATAAACACATAGTCCATTAACAGAAGGTTATGGATGCCAAGAAACATAATATAGAACTCTACTTTTCATTTATAAAATTTCTCAGAATTTCCAAAACTGGAGTTCAAAATTGATTAAAAGTTTTAGAGGGAATGGGACCCCTACGCTGTCAGAAAAAAGGTACGTGCAGGTATGTTTTTCATTCTTCAAGGAACAAAATGTAAAGGTACAACAATATTTGTAATTGTGTAGCTTAAATAAGTTTTCACCCTTTAGCCTTTCATTACTTAATGTTTTAAAAAAGCATGTGGAATATATATTAGAGCAGTGGAATATATTCTGTTCAGTGACGAATCACGCTTCTCTATCTCACTGTCTAATGGTCAAGTCTGGGTTTGGAGAACGTTACCTGCCTGACTGCATTGTGCCAACTGTAAAGTTTGGTAGAGGAGGGATAATGCTATGGGTTTTTTTTCCAGGGGTTGGCCTAGGCCCCTTAGTTCCAGCGAAGGAAAATCTTAATGCTTTAGCATACAAAGACATTTTGGACAATTCTATGCTTCCAACTTTGTGGGAACAGTTTGAGGAAGGCCCTTTTCTGTTCCAGCATGACACAAAGCAATGTCCATAAAGGCATGGCTGGGTGAGTTTGGTGTGTCTGACCTCACTGATGCTCCTCTGGATGAATGGGCAAAAATTCCCACAGACACACTCCAAAATCTTGCAGAAATCTTTCCAGAAGAGTGGAAGGTGTTATAGCTGCAAAGGGCGGACCAACTCCATATTAATGCCTATGGGTTTAAAATGGGATGTCTTAAAAGCTCCTGTGGGTATAATGTGTAGGTGTCTCAATACTTTTGTCCATGTAATTGCATGTATGTGTGAAAACTGCAAAACTGGCTGTTATGATTATAAAATAAATAAATGAAGTCTTTTAACATGTATCTGTCAATCAGATGTTAGAGCCTTAACAATCCAGTTAATAAACCTGCAGAAAGTAAGCAGTATTACAAATAAAGATATTAAGCTATTCCCATTATATCCATTCTTTACAGCTAAAGGTTAGGTATGGGTAAGTGAAGTATGTTTTAGAACAAATTCTTAACTATGAAAAGTCATCATCAAGCAAGACACCTCTTTTTTTAGAATTAGCCAAATACATAATCTAAGGGTAATGCTGGACACGCCTATATTTTGCAAACTGAATTCACCAGTAAAGGGACATTACCAAGCAGACTGCTGGGTCTTTGTTTCATTGCAGGCCAGTGTCACATTCCTGCAGCGTAGTTCATGCACCTTCCTCCCATTGTGCGAAGTAAGTCAGCCATGAGATCACAGCCTGTTTCTGCCAGCGAGGCACATCCACAGCAGGGCAGGCAGGGTCAGGAGCTGAGGTCACTCTTCATTTCTCTCTCTACTGATGGACCGAATCTAACCGCAGCATCCATTTTGCCTCCTATTGATTATAGCTGGAAAGTGGAAAATGTGACTCACACTTACACTAAAGACGTGAGAGTATCTAGGGTGCCAATTGTCTACCTCAAAAAAAGAGACAAATGTGTTACAAATTTTAAAACTTAGTAAACATTAGAATTGCTAAGATGGTTTACACCTTAAGAGCACAACTTGTAATGTCATGTGACATGATTCTAAACAGCAATGTGGAGAAAATTATTTTATTCAATCAACATTAAAAATATTTTTCCGGACAACACAGTGTCTTGCATCATCTGAACAGTTTAAAATATTTAAGACATCTGTCTGTATCTCTCAATAACAGCTTCTTCAGAACTTCAAGTTAACTTCAGTGGTAGTAAAAGACTAAAAATTTATGAACAAGGTTTATCAAATAAATAATTACATAAGTTAATGATAAGCATTTAAAGTTTAAAAATGGACAAAATAACATTTAAAAATGTCTCAAATTTTTGCTCCTAGCAGTAACTTATCAGATAAAAAGCATTCTTGGCAACACACAACATGTTTTGCAGTTGAAGTGTTTCCTTTTGTTCTTAAGACTGTGCACAAATGTTTACGTTGATGTATATTTCAGCATCATAGTACTACGGGATTATAAACATAAAAACATGCAATGGAACATTTAAAAACAAAACATTAAACATGTAAAGATGCGTGTAGATGCTGTTAAGAGTATGTTTACAGGTGACCACTGCAGATAGTGATGGGTCCGTATGGTCCAGTTTGATTAACGCTCAGCTTCTGCACACATGCCAACTCTGCACAGTACACAATAACACATCAGAAATGTTGGGAAAAGAAGGCACAGGCACAGGCACACAAACACATACCCAGGTGTTACTTTACCTAGTATATTGTAGAATAAATGAGCTGCAATACTTCGGTCAGTCTCTGGGGGGAGTAGTGAGTGGAAAGAGACTTTCCCAAAGCGATCAATGTAGGTGTTCAGCATTCTGCGACAGAAATTGAAATGAACAAATTAAGACAGTGGATCAGTAGTGTACTACCAGTAGTGCAGGCAGGGCCATTGCACTGGGGCCCATTGTGTGTGGGGGACTGTGGTGACCAGACACCCTCACATCTTGATTGGACCCTTTAAATCGATATTTATGACTCATTCCATAAAAAGAATGCCATTTTCATCCACAAGATCTCACACAACGTATAAGGGACAGAACTCACTCTGCTAATAAACGCTTTTCAAGATTAAAGATATCAATTCAAAGTTTATCATTAACATGGTATTATTAAAACAGGTATTATTTAATTCAATTGTTGGGGGGGATTTTAATTGTCATTTGAACCCTATGATAGATAAATTTTCTATGGGTACAATTTTACTGTCCTCTCAAGCTAAGGCTCTTAATGCTATATGTGAGGATTTAGATTATGTTGATGTTTAGAGAGCCCAGCATCCTGCAGATAAAGAGTTTACTTTTTTCTCAAACCTTCATAAATGTCACATGAGAATAGATTATTTCTTTATCCCTAGTAGGCGACTGCAATGTGTAATTTCTAGCTCAACTGGTAATATAACCCTATCTGACCATGCACCAGTTTTTTTGAAGGTTGAGCTGCGTGATTTGTTACCACAATCCAGACATTGGAGACTTAACCCCTCAACATTGAATGACCATAAATTTCTAGCGTACTTTACATCAGAATTAGAATCATTTATGTCTTTTAACTCTCCGTCCACTGACAATCCATCCTAGTTATGGGAAACTTTAAAGGCCTTTTCACGAGGGGTCATTATATCTTATACATCACATAGACAACGTAAGAAGCACGAACAACAAAAAATATTAGAAACCAAATTGAAATTAGTAGAAAAGGCTTATATTAAGAATCCATCACCAGCAAGATTGAAAGAAATTACCGCCCTGCGCTAAGCTCTAGATTCCCTTCTGACAAAAGATGCAGAGGTGAAAATAAGATTTGCTAAACAACATTTGTATGAACATGGTGATAAGGCAGGGAGACATCTGGCATACCTTACAAAGAAAAAGGCAGACTCCCAAATCATATTTTCAATTCTTGATGTGCAGGGAAACATATCTCAGGAGGCTAAAATTATTAACAATACTTTAAGGGAATTTTATAAAAGTCTGTATAAGTCCAAATTACCTTCGGATGCCCCAAAATTAATAGATGACTTTTTCTCTTCCCTTAAGCTCCCCACTTTAACAATCAGAAATTGGCTCTCATTTCTCCAATCTCCAAAGAAGAGGTGCTCAGTGCTATTAAGAAACTGCAATATGGTAAAGCCCCTGGCACGGATGGACTTGGTAGTGAGTTTTATAAAGAATTTCAGAATCTCTTGGTTGACCCATTGAATATGTTTAATGACTCTTTTGTCAAGGGTCTTCTGCCTACATCCTTACACGAAGCTAATATATCTCTGATTTTGAAGAAGGGAACCCACCAGAGGACCGCGCCTCCTATAGGCCCATTTCTCTTTTAAATGTAGACTTGAAGCTGCTCTCAAAAATATTAACAGCCCGACTAGAAAGTTTGCTGCCTTATATTATTAAAGAGGATCAGACAGGCTTTATTAAGGGCTGTAATTCCTGTAATAATGTTCGCAGACTTTTAAATTGTATTTTTACTTTTCAGAAAAGGGCTGTAGATGGGATGGTGATTTCATTAGATGCAGAAAAGGTATTTGATAGCATAGAGTGGACATACCTTGTATATACTTTACGTAATTTGGATTAGGTGAAAATTTTATCAAGTGGGTAGAGATTCTTTACAATAACCCTATGGCTGCAGTTCTCACTAATGGTTTATGACCTGATAATTTTAGTATTCAATGAGGCACGAGACAAGGCTGCCCACTGTTGCCTTCCTTGTTCAATTTAGCAACAGAGCCATTAGCTGAAGCAATAAGAACAGATCTTAACATACATGGTTTGAATACATCCAAAAAAGAACATAAAATCACATTATATGCTGATGATATTTTGATTTTCCTCTCTGAACCACACCTAGCCTCATAAGTATTATTTCCAAATTTGGTCTTTTTTCAAGTCCATAGCTATGGGTAGCTTAAAACACATACCACAAAATCCATCACCTTTTCCTTTTCAATGGTCAGAGACAGGCTTTATATACTTAGGACTATTCATAACCCCTAAATTTAATCAGATGTTCAAAACAAACTTTACTCCATTGCAGGATCGTATCAAACTAGATTTGGAGAGATGGCATGCTCTCCCTATCTCTTGGATAGGCCGTATAGCATTGATAAAAATGAATATCCTTCCAAGACTGCTTTACCCTATATGGATGATTCCAGTCCTTTTCCCAAGCAAGTCTCTTAAAACTCTAGATAAGTGGTTCAGCTCCTTTATATGGGCTAAGAAGAGGCCACAACTGAAAATGGCAGTTTTACGTCTTCCGGACATGAGAGGGGGTTTTCACTTCCTGGATATTAAAAAATATCAGCTATGTGCTCACTTACGTTTTATATTTGATTGGATATATGAAGACAACTCTTCTTTGTGGTTTGATATCGAAAATTCACAAACAAAATATCCCTTACGAAACTTGATATTTCTTAGAAACTTTGAGTCAGTAAGAAGCTCCTGTGAGAATCCCATTGTAATTAACACTGTTAAAGCATGGAGAATTATTATGCATCTGGAAGGTAGATCTAAGCTGACTTCTGTTTATACTCCTATATGTGATAATCCTTTCTTCCGGGTGTTACAGATTCTCATTTCCGTTTTTGGGCATCAAGGGGTCTTTCTCGCCTGAGGGATTTATTTGAAGGGTCCACACTGATGTCATTTAGTCAGACATCTGATAAGTATGTCATTCATAAACATGACATCTTTCGTTTTTTTTCAGATAAGGGACTTTGTAAGAAAGGACACAACGCTTCACCTAGATATGCTACCCTCTCAGATAGAGAGGCAGCTTTTTCTGCCCAAACAGAATAGATCTACTAGCTTCTTTTATAATATATTAAGAGAATATCCCAATGCTAACACTCATTATTTGAGGATGTTTGGGATTGATATAGAGATAGAGGAGGATGTGTGGAACAAGGTTTGGAAGAATGCAAACTCTATCAGTATATGTAATAAAGCAAAAGCTATCCAGTTTAAAATCTTACACAGAGTGCATATATCTCCAAGTCACCGCAGTAAATTTAAAGAGGGTTTTTCTCCTATGTGTCCTAAATGTAAAGTGGAGGTAGGTAGCCTCACCCATTGTCTGTGGACTTGTTACAGAATTCAAAAATTGTGCGGGGATATCGCACAGGAACTGTACAAGATTTTCGGAACCGATGTAAGGATGGACCTATTGTGTTTATTGCTTGGGTTCGCAAATAATTATATTTCCGACAAGTTTAAGAAAAAACTCTGCAATGTTTTAACATTCTGTGCAAGGAAACGTATTTTATTACAATGGATAACAGATAAAATACCCTCTATAGCAACCTGGCACAGAGTTGTTTTGGAACATGTATCTCTAGATTATTTGACACACCTGTTACATTCAAAAACAAACGTCTTCTACGATATTTGGGAACCTTTTCTGCTGTATATTGGGTCAGATCTCAAGTATTCTGGTGAGAGCACCTGTATAGTTTACTGTGCCATTTTGATATGTTGGTCAGCATAAATATTTGTTTATGTAAGCTGGGGGTTGTTGTTTTTTTTTTTTTGTTATGTGTGTATGGTGTATGCTTGTTGATAAAAATTTAATAAACAATATTTAAAAAAAAACAAAACAAAACAAAACAAAAAAAAAACAGGTATTATTTGAGTGGTGGGCATTCTCAGCACTGCAGTGACACTGACATGGTGGTGGTGTGTAAGTGTGTGTTGTGCTGGTACGAGTGAATCGGACACACCAGTACTGCTGGAGTTTTTAAAACAGTTTCTTCTTACAGCCTTACCTATTAGGCACACCACCTTGTAGATGTAAAGACAACAGCTCATCTGTTGCTGCAGTTTGTGTTAGTCATCCTCTAGTCCTTCAACAATGGTCACAGGCTGTTAAACAACTAAAATTAGAAGGTCTAAGCGTGCTAAAAGAGTGTGGCAAACAGTTTTGCATGAAATATTCCACCTCAGCACTTCAGTACTCTTGGATTGGACTTTTCAGTGTTGTCACAAATAAGTAAGTAAATAAGTAAGTAAGTAAGTAAGTAAGTAAATAAATAAATAAATAAATAAATAGGTCAGAAAATAAAATGATTACTTATGTGGAAAAATCTGTTTTATGGTGAAAGCAATATGTAATTGGAACCATGGAGGACAATAAAGCATGATTTCTTGGCATTAAAAAAATCAACTTAGCATGTGAATTTGGCACCAGTCTCACGGAATGACTCTTACGCGATTTTATCCATGACTTATGGGTAGCTACAATAACGTAATAATAATAATATTTGAACCATTAGCTTACATTTTAACACAAACTTGACATGGTAATAGTGAGCACACAAGCAACTTATACTGTGATTTCTATCATTTTCATATGGGTGGCCCATACATTTTTAGAAGTGAAGCACCACACGGACCTTCCTTCCAATCGTCGTTCCGACCCTCCCTCCCTCACCCTTAGCAGGCTGAAGATTCTCTACAAAGCCTCGCCATTAGCATTCATAGGTCCCTCATAAGAGCAGCGCTTCGCAACAATGATATGGTTTTTGCACTGTGGCCAATAACATTCTAGTTGCACTGAAGTGGGTATTTAATCAATATATTAGGACTATATTAATCCACATTTAGGAGGATTACTTGAGTAGGCTGTGTGGAGTGATCTCCCTCGTTTCTGCCTCTCCCTGTGGCAGCTCCACCCTGCTCCTCTGATATCGCCTCCATATGGACAGTAGCTTCATCTTGAGGAGACCTACAAACAAAAAATATGATTTTCTGTCTTCATTCTTCATGATGTATCTCTGTATTCAAGTATGGTAACTTGAATAGGTTCTGATGCCACTGCTCTGAAACTGGTTTCATTTCCCACATTACTTTCTTCATACATCATTGTCTGTGAGCTATGAAATGTTATTGTCTTGCTATTTTTTTTTACCATCTGCTAGTGGGAGTGATGAGATCACTCTGAGCCCTGTCTCCTTTTGAAACATCCAGTGCCACATCGGAGGCAGCTACAACAACCAGAAGACACACACACACACACACACACACACACACACGCACACACACACACACACACACACACAATCATATAATGCATTCACCCCATGGAGTTCTTCTTAATTCATTTTGTATTTTAAGGAGAATTCCTTTTTTTTTGCATTTTTTATTAAATGGCTAAAATGTAAAAAGTCATTCAGAGTGGTTTGATGTGAAATGAGCTATGTTCTAGAGTTACTTACAGTCAGAATTTGTACAGTAGTGAAAAGTGTTTAATGTCTCTAAAAGTTGCCTCAGAAGGTTATTAAAATAAAAGATAAACATAACTTGATGCTTGAAAAAATGTTTTCAGGAAAAAATTTGGCCTAAAACATAATTTTTAAATTCCATTCACAGCAGCAAGATATATGCAGGGCATTGTAAAGCAAAATAGTACTCAAATAAGACTAATTTTTTCTAATGTACCAGTATTTTACCATCATCAACATCAGCTATAAAACAGGACATATGTGTAGGTGCACTGGTCTTTCTGGATAGTCAATAAAATGGATATATTTGCATTGTAGAAGTTGTGACCCCTGGTTCCTTTCACCACCACTGTAAGGAAATCTCAGATAATAAGTTTCTCCACAATTAATCGTTTCTAATCAAACCACTCCGAATGACTTTCAATGTCAACAACTGAGCTATGCTAGACATTTGAAAAATCATTGGAATTTATTTTCAAGGCATATTCTATTGGTATTAATCCAATTTCCAAATTTCAAACGCAATGACTTTAAAACATTTAGTCATATCCAGTAAATTTGAGCAAATATGAGCAGATGTTGATGTTGACTTTTTCAGTGCAGATTTTGAGAAAAACTGCTGAGACCAAGCTAGCTGACAAGCTAGGCTTCTTACACCGAAAGATGAAGTTTAAAACTTTCAGATGGAATAATGGACGCTGCACATAATTGCTTGCTGCATGTTAAAGATCAATTTAACCACAAACAGTGCCAATAATTACACACTAACATCCATAATTAGGTACTAAAAATGACAAAATAATGATTGTTGCTTTTCCCACCATTTTTCATCATTGATTGCAGTTTGTGGTATCTGACCTGAGATTTTAGAGAAGAGCAGGCCAGCCTCCCCAGATTCTCTCAGCACCTGAACAAGAAAAGACAGTATGACAAAGATAATTTTGCTCCATAAATACAAAGTACTTTTAGGCAATATTATGTAATGTTAACATTATTATTAACGTTAATAATTTATTTGTTTGTCTTATGTTATTAATTTATTTTGCCAGCTGTTCCTTCTTAAATAGTTTAAGTTTTTCACAGGCTTTTAAAATTGTGGCAACTGTTCATAAACATCAGAGAGACTAAATATTGTGATACATATTGTGTATTGTGAAACTCATGTTAGTTTTTTCTATATTGCCAAACCTTAACACATTATTAAGGTATATAAAAGGTAAACACTGTCCTTAAATGCAAAACAGAGTTAGAAATGCCCAGTTAGCTGGTAAGATCTCGCTAGAGCTTCAAGTTTAAGTCAGATTACCAGATGGGTATTTTTAATTGAGCACTTATAACTACTAGAAGCCTCTCACCTCCATACTGGAGTCTCTCTTCCTCCACTCTCCCTCTTTTTCCTCCCCCCTTTCTCTCTCTATCTCGGACAGCTCGCTGTCCTCCTGTGGGCGATGTCTCTTGGTGGGGTCGGGGAGGGTGGTGGAGACACAGCACTGTTTCCATAGTGACTGGAGGTCGTGGTGGAGAAACACTGCAGCAGAATTTGCATCAGCAGAGGTGGTATAATTTTTACAAATGTGTTAAATTTAATGATAGCACTTTCTGTGGTTTCCTGTGATTTCTGGGTTAAAGTTTCAGCACAGTTGATGGAAGCTCAGTCACCTGAGACCTCAGAGATTACAGAGTTTGATCCCAGCTGATAATTGCTGCCATTGTGCCTTTTAAGTTGCTCCAGGGGGATTCCCCTTGTAGCTGGCAAAGGTAAGTCACATTTGGACAAAATGTTAAGTTTAGCTAAAGTAAAAGCCTAATGGATAAAATATTCTTGGAAAGCAAGAATTTTATCACCCTGCACATGGGAGACTGGAGACTGGAACATCACTGCAATAAGACAAATAGACGTGGGCTGCTGAGTGATACATACATGGACACCCGTAGGTGGACCTGAACTGAGGCAACTAACACGTCAGCGGTGTGGTATTATTTCACGTTTGCACAGTAGTGACAAATGCTCATTGCTAAATCTATAATAATGTAATAATGCCAGTATTTTAAAGGGAGACAACAGTAAAGGGTAATATACTGGTTGAATTTTTTCTTGAAGTATTAGTTTTGTCATTACTTTGTTCCAGTATGCCACAAATAAACTCAGATAAGGCAAAACAAGCTAACATTAGTCCCTTTACCTGAATGGCATAATCAGGGATCTTTTTGTAATCCCTCATCTCTTGTATTCTAGATTGTTATTGAGAATGCAAATATTTGAGATATATATGCGAGGATTAGTCGGTCTCCAGGGGTAATGACATCCTTTAGCCTAGGGTTAGCCTTTAATATAACCCGCTATCTGTGTCCACCATCTGCGGTGCTGCCTCTGTCGGTTATCTTTCCAGGCCCAGAGAACCTGCTGTGTACTGCTGTGTACACTACCATAGCATTATCTACATAATGTTCAATTCTGTTTTCACTACTAAAAAAATAAATCCAACAAGTGAATGACATTCATTCAAATTTAGTGTGTTGAATTTGTGACACAAAACCCATAAATATTTAAAAAATGGAATTGCGTAAGTATCAGGATCAGGCACCTGTTGAGTAGTTACGTGAGATAGAGTTACTATCAGCATCAGTACTCGGTATCGGAAGGCAAAAGGTGGTATCGGTGCATCCTTATACAATATGTAATACAGCTCCCTGCTTTTACAGCTAAAGAAACAGAAGGTTAAAAATGTTTCTAGCTTAATAGGTAAGGTAGCCAGTCAGCAGCAAAATCGAAATGAAGAACATGATGTGGTACTTGCACTAGTACTAATGAAATTTCAAATACCTTATCACACAGTGCAAATACACATGGAAAATGACAATTAATATAACATTTTGACACTTTTAAGGAATAGAAAGCTTCATTTCATATACAGGAATATACTGTTATTTCATTAATTTATGTTTTTCATTTGGATTCTGCTACTGATATGCAGGGACCACTGAAGCATATTTTGAAGGTCTGCTAGAAGCACTGTGTGAGTAACAAAGCAAATATATCAAGGCTTACAGTTACAAGGCGAACTGAAGACATATGATGATGGGATCTTGAAGGTTGGCAGAACTTGTATCAGTACATCAGACTATAATAGAGGAGGAGAGATAAACAGAAGACAAGAAATAAATTAATTGTCAAAAAGGACGTTTTAAGTCAGCAGTTTAATATATATAAAAATGTAATTAATTAATCTAACATTTCTTCAAATTTGTAATAGGCTAACTAATCATGCCTACAATGTAATCCATAACTATAACTAATTGGGGAGTGACAATATTTGTTGTTTTGGCTCTGTACTCTAACCATCTGAATTTGAATTGAAACAATTCCTGTGACTATCGGGAATTCATTCAAAGCTATGTATATCACATGTATACCTGCCTTCATGACCCAATTAAAGCACTAGCAGTGTGAAAACCAACAATTTGGTATGATAAACAAGAACACACTGGTGAACTTAAAGTAAACTATTGTAGTGTATGACTGACAAAAATTTTAAAGGAAAACTCCCTTTTATTGAACATATCGAGACTTCTTGGTTGAACATATCGAGACTTCTTGGGACTTCTTGGAATGCCCTCATTTACCACAAGAAAAGAAACTGCTAACTGAACAAAATCTCATGGACTGATGCAATATAGATTAAGTAGTACCAGAGTGAAAGAATGAGTCAAAAGTGAAATGTTCTTGACTGGCCAAGTCAATTACCACACTGGGACCACACTAAACAAGTGTGAACTGAAAATGGCCATTACATGCCTGTTATTGATGCCTATCAGTTCCAGAACAACAGAAACTGTGTCATTGTCCCTTTTTTACTAATCCCTCTATATAACATATACAATACCAGTCCAAAAGTATGTGGACACCCCTTTTAATTACTGAGTTTGGCAATTACAGCCTCACTCGTTGCTAACAGGTACATAAAATCAAGCACACAACTCCTCAGACAAACACTGGTTGTAGGTGTCGTACTAACTTTCAATGCAGCACTTGCAGTCTGGCACATTACATTCAGGGGTCAAGTCTCAAGCCAGAAAAGGTTGATATTCTGGTCTTCTTGGACATTTAAATTTTAGTCCCAATATGTGTCAGAAAAATCACATATCACAAATTACAAATTAGATATTTCCGAAATCATTCAGCCCTAATGGTTGTGTCATTTGGGTGCCCACATACTTTTGGCCATGTAGTGTACATACAGCATACCAGTAACTGAGTCTCAGCCAATGGATTATTGATTTGTTCTCGCATTGCTTCCTGGGAGATCTGTGTGTGCTGATCAGCAAAGATCAGTTGCCGTTTGCGACTTCGTCTTTCAGGAGGAATCCTCTCTTCAGCCATAGGAATCTGAGAAATAGGGAAAACAAATGAAGAAATGTACATATGAATGTCTGAAATACCTCTGATGCTTTGCTGATGAATGTGTGCTGATGTCACTGCCTTTATGTGTCTTTCATGTTTCAGAAAAATCAAAACTTGTGTTATGCAACGATAGCCTGCATAACATAGACACACATATAACATAACCACACACACACACACACACACACACACACACACACACACACCCACCTCACTACTACAGTGCTCTGTCTCTTTTTCCTGTTCTAGATCCCTCTCACTGGCCTCTGTAGTAGCTAGTATGGTTGCGGGTGGAGGGGTCATCTCCGTGGCAACCATTTGCAGGGCGACATCCAGTGGTTGCCTAGTGTCCTCGATGATCCAAGACTTGTCCTCAGCCGATATATCCTTCAGTCTGGATAAACACAGTGGCAGAGAGAGCATCAACATGATTTACCATTTACACTGCAAAAACTGATATATTAGAAAGTGAAAACATCTTAAACATAGTTAATATATCTAATATTTCTCATTATATTATAACATTGTTGTAAGAATATTTTAAGTTTATTCAACCTGTTTCTATACATTTTTTGCTTGTTTTAAGTACTTTTAAATAAAGTGTCATTCCTTTGGCATATCATTTTACTTGTTTGGAGAAATAATAAAGATAAATAATTCAAAATACTTACATTACTCTGCCAAATGGAACACGTTCATAAGATAAAATTACTTAAAACAATCTTTAAAAATCTTACAATTTGCTTACAATAATTTTAGAATCAGAAATATTAGATATTTTGACTAAATTTAGAATGTTTTTGCTTGCTAAGATTTCATTTTCTGTTGTGTAGGACAGTTGTAATAAGATCCAGAGCAGGGACATCATTAACTGTCCTAGGTTTGATTGTTCATGATGCCAACTAGCAAACCAAGCAAAAAATGTTTGGACCCAAGATGAAGCATTTTCTTTTGTTATAAAACAACACAGATTTAACCTTAGGCAGGAATTTTCCTAGGACTGCTTCATAAACTGCATAACAAATAATAGCTCACTATTCTACTATCCAAACTGTTAACAATTTAGTTTTAGAGACAGATTAAACAAGCTAATGATATCTTTTTCATCTTTTTCAGCTACTGAACCTGCATGTTCTAAAGTATCAATTATATCTAGAACACAAGCCTCAAGTATGGTTTTGTATGTGTAATGACTTTATAACAAAAGGTAACTACTCTTCATCTACATATACTACTCACTGTTCTAAGGAGACCATGGCAACCTCTAACTCTCTTGATCTCTCTCCTTCTGCTGCCCTCTCTCTCTCCTTATCCTCCACTTCTGTTAGAGAAATAAGAGAAAGAAAAACCCATCCACCCATTCCTTAATGTGTCCATTCATTTCATTGGTCTGTCGACCTCACCTCCAAGGAGGAACTGATCCTGTTGCTTCATAAGCAGGTCGATCTCCTGGGCTGTAGCCTGAGGTAACTCTGCTCCTCCAAACTAAAGATTGAGGGAAGAAAGTGGAAAACAACATACAAGAGAGAAGAAACGTGAGACCTGGTGACGCATGTGGGTGAGAAAATTTCAAATATAGACTACGATCTCTACTGTAGGGTGGCCATGACTCAAAGTAATGTAGGCACTAACGTAGGCAGATAACCCGAGTTTTCACATTTATTCATGCTCACATTTTCTTGCACATGGCTAAGCTGTGGATGACTTTAACTTCACGAATGGATTTTGCGTGGAGAAATGCACCAGAAATGAGGTCATAGTTGAAGCGTGGGCAAAAAGTATGCAAATAAAAAAATATAAAGAAGGCTGAAATCAATGTAGTAAGAATTGTTGTAAAGCAGTAGTGTACCTCAGCAGTGAGGATAGTTACTGGCTCCCTGTCTTTGATGGTAATTGCTTCAGGAGAGGCAGTGAGGCCTTGAGAGAGAGAGAGAGAGAGAGAAAGAGAGAGAGAGAGAGAGAGTGCTGAACTGACGTTCAAATTACAGTTAATATGCAGTAATATTATTAGAGATGCATCAGTGTGGGAATTGTGGGCTGATGCCAAAAACATTTCATGTACATATCTGATGATGCTGATGCCAATGCTTAAAATGAAGAAAAGTGACTTCATAAACCTGGATTAGCCTAATGAAGACATTTATCTTTTTTTAGAGTTACAAATGCAGTAAAATTCATGAAATGCAGATATTTTGGCACAGCAGCCCACTGTCACCTAAACTTTCTGTTCTTTTGGAGTACAATAAATTTGTCATGACTAAATATAACAACAATATGTAAACATAACAATGCGCAGAAGAAAACAGCAACAGAGATAAGAAACAAAAGTAAATTAATCAATACCAGTAATTTTCCTCATCCTCTTTTAATTTCTTACCTATGGGTGCAGTGCTTTTCTTACTAGTCTCCAGAAGGCGGTCTGGAGATGAAGCAATCATGAACTGCCAAGGCTGGAAGTAAGCAATAAATCCATTCAGGGTCAAAGCTCACACTAAGGACTTCCATAGAGATTATTTGTGTGTGTACTTGAATCACTCGTAAAACCCTCTTGGTGCTGAATGGGGAAAATATGTGTAGCACAAAAGTAACATTTTTTGGCCATGACCACATAAATAAGAACTTTGCATCTATTTGTATGAATATTGCATACTTCTAACAGTAAGAACGCTGCCTGAAACAACCAGCGTGTGTGTTTATTAAGTACACATACACTGTATGGCCAAACGGATGTGGACAACTGACCATCACACCTACATGAGCTTAATGGACCATTCAGAAACCAAGGGCATTAATATAGAGTTAATGTGACTATAACATCCTACCCTTACCTGGGAATTTTGGAGTATGTGTGTGTCAAAAGAGCATTTGTGGGTTAAGGTAGTGATTTTGACAAGAAGGCCTGGCTAACAATCAATGTTCCAATTAATCTCAAAGGTCTTTAGTGGGGTTGAGGTCAGGACTCTTTGCAGGCCACTGGAGTTTCTGCACAACAAACTTGCCAAACCATGTCTTTATAGGCCTTCGCTTTGGGCACAGAGGCACAGTCATGCGGGAACAGGAAAGGGTTTTTCCAAAACTGTTGCCACAAAGCTGGAAGCATATAACTGTCTTTATATGCTGTAGCATTAACATTACCCTTCACTGGAATTAAGGGGCCAAGCTCAAACCCTGAAAAACAGCCCCAGCCCATTAATCCCTCTGCCACCAAAATGTTAGCACAATGACGAACCCAGATTCGTCCATCAGACTGCCAGATTCATTACTCCATAGAACATGTTTCCACTGCTCCAGAGTCCAGTGGCAGTGTGCTTGATACCACTCCAGCTGATGCTTGGCATTGCGCATTGTGATCTTAGGTTTGTGCGCAGCTGCTTGGCCATGGAAACCTATTTCATGGACCTCCTGAGGCAGAGTTCTGTTTTGCTTCCAGAAGCAATTTTGAACTCTCTAGCAAGTGATGCAACAAAGCATGTTTTTACTTGCTACACGATCCAGCAACTCTGCTCTGTGAGTTTGCATGGTCTACTGCTTTGTGGCCGAGCTGATGTTGCTCGTAGACGCCTCCATTTCACAGGAATAGCCCTTACAGTTGACTGGGGCAGATCTAGCAGGGCAGAAATTTCACAAACTTGTGACAAAGGTGGCATCCTATGACACTGTCATAGGCTATGTTTAAAGTCAATTAACTCTGCAATACGACCCATTCTAACTGCCAATGTTTTTCTATGGATATTTTAAGGCTATGTGCTTGATTTTATGCAGCTACTAACAATGTGTGCGGTTGAAACACCTGAACTAGGGGGGTGTCCACATACTTTTGGCCATATAATGTTCCTTGGCTTGTAACTACAAACTTTGGCCATTTGATCAGGTGCACCTACCATACAGGTGGACTATAAAGGTTTACAATTACATAACGTAGCCTATCTGCTGCACAATTTACAAGTGTGTACTGTCCATTATTAGAAAGGGACCAAAATAGGACCATTGCTGACCAGATATTATTTGGGTGGTGGAACATTCTCAGCTGTGACACTGACATGGTAGCGATATATTAGTGGGGGTTGCACTGGTACAAGTTTATCAGGCACAGCAATGTGGTCAGTGTTATTTCCAAACCTGTGGTAGCTGAGAGGGACTAGACAGCTCACACTCAGCTCCCATTTTCCCAAAGAACGGTGCCAGGGCTCCCTCTGCCTCCTCCAGCAGGAACAGCGAGTCAGGGAGGTTCAGAGCCAACCTGTAAGCCACCTCAGTATGCTTATTGTAGTAGTTACACAGTATCATAACATTATCTGCAGTATAAGTGCAAGCCTTGTAAGTCAATAGTATGTGTCTGTCAAGGTAAACTACATTTATGAATTGTGAAGTAACTGACAGGTCTTTGAGTCTGACCTGTCTGGCTCCTGCATGTCAATCCGTGAGTGTTTTTCTGAGCGTAGTAAGTGCTCAATGGTCTGCTGGACTTCCTCTTTAAGAAGATGGATCAGGTGTTACCCAAAAATTTCATTTCATCAATCACATTAATGTTACAAAGAGGCAATCAACACTAAACTTGATATTTTAAACATGTTCAAATACATGCTCACTGGAACATTTTGTTAATATTTTGTTATTAAGTGATTTCCCCAACAATGCTGGTGAAACTATGGGTTCCTCCAAGAAAATTTTATTTTGCTGCATCTGTAACTCTAGTAGCAGGTGCTTTGCTCTTTGCACCAAGAATAAAACCTCATCTGAGAGATGACACTTTCCATTGTTTTGCGGTAAATCTGTAGGTTGTGTTGTTTTACAACTTTCTCAGACATTGCTAAATATCCTTCCCTTGCTTCATCACCCACTAAACACAACCTCTGCACACATATTCGCAATCCATGCCTAGTGTGTATTTTTCAAATATGCTGATCGGCCGTAGACCAGCAAAAATTGCAGGTAGACATACCCATTAATATCCTCATTATATGTTGTTCCACTTACAAACCAAGTCAAATCAGTCTATTCATATTATGTGTAAGCTTTTCACTGTATGCTTCAATCTTTTCCCATTTCATTCAAATTTTTCTAGTCTGGCTAGTTGACTAGTGACTTCCTCTGTGAAGTGTTGAAGAACCCAAAATGTTCAGGTCATTATGATAATCCCTAAAACTGCCTAGGACAGGGCTGAGCTATAATTTGAAACTACTGTTGATTACTAAACAATGGTGAAACATTTCTTGCTTAAACAATAAATACCACCCTTTCCATCCAATTAAGCTGCATTTGAGGGGGTATGGGAAAGATAAACAGTAAAGGTTGAGGTATATTTCTAATCTTTCTCAAAATGACAAACACATTTAATTTCAGATTCATGTAGATACTCTCTCTATTAAGACTACTTGTATGTTCCACACATTGATCTCTAAGTGCAGTAGTGCACATGGAGTGGCTCTTGCAATTATGTAAATCATTTTCTAGGTGTAAGGAGTTAGAAAAGCTATTTTTGTGTCTCTGTCAATGCTGCTGCCAAAACACTATTTATATGGACAACAACAAATAAACCAAAGCCCTTGCAGCACATTTTGTAAAGTGTGGGTCACTGATCAATAAGTGCTAATGGATGTGTGGTGAGATAATGAGTATTGGACTGTCTTTGTTTAAAGCAGGATGGAAAGAACATAACTATTAAAAACACAGTCTGTAAATGCCATACATTTTAAACAGTAGGTGCTGCAGTGAAATTATGTGTTAAAGATGAGAATAGGCTTTGTTTGGTTACACAATATGGATAAAATGTATAGTGGATACACCTTGTAACATATTAAACACATACTGATTAACCAGTGATGTGACATTGTTAAAGACTGGCCTGCATTATTTTGACCAAGTTTTTTAATAGCCAATCAAAACAACCTCAGAAACCCTCTGGACTTATTATCATCAAAATAATTACTACACATAGCAAAAAAATCTCTGCAGTTGGTTAAACACTCATTTGTATATTGCAGCCTCCTGTGGTCAGTTTTTCAAAGGCAAATATCAATATAATGATTAAAAACAAACAATACATTGTGCAGCCCTACAGTCTGGCCTGACAGATATATTTAGATAGAAGCAGAACACACTGCAGGGCTGTCTAGTAAACTAAAAAAAATCACCAGTGTTAAATGAACTCCTACAGATTTACACCAAATTAAGTTCAAATATTTGAGGATATGAGAATCTTACCCAGCAAGAAGGCACACTGTCGGTGAAAGACAATGACCACTCCATACTGCAGCTGAGAGGAGAGATATAGAGAGAATCGAGGGCGTGGCAGGCTTGGGTGAAGAGGTGGAACCTGGACTTTCACATAGTCAATTATATCCTCACTGTACAAACACACACACAAAAAATACAGCTTTTAATTCCACTATATTTTTTAATTGTTTCATCAAAACAGATATGGTAAAAGTTGTGGTCTGCTCATATACTAGAGACCTAGATAGCTGATGATGACATACTATGCACAATATATCAGAATCATTTTGGTATTAGTAAAAAAAAAAAATGATGTTTAGAATTGACTGATGTTCCAAATAAATACACAAAATTAAATTATGTATTTATTGTACTTTTGAAGAACAAAACGTTTAGGCAAGGCAAGGTTACTATACTGAAATGCCTGCATTTTATAAAATCTACTGTATTTGTAATCCTATCGAAGTAAATGTTATATTTCCCTGTACATTTTATAAATGCTGATGTATCATCATTGGCAGATGTGTACATGAAAAATATGACAAATGGTAAAATAGACTGTGTTAAAAGCATATTCATTGTTTACCCTTGGTAGATTGGTGGCTCATGATTGCCCAATCGCTTTAAACCTATAAACCTATAATGCTTGAACATGAAACTAGTGTTTTCATTTACAGCAAAAGATTAGAATTTACGTGGTGAAGCACAATGTCTTGTGCAGAGATGTTCAAGAGTTGTATATGTAGTTGAGTGGGAAATAAAAAAAACCTGGAGCAGAGTGGGAGCGGAATGATTATAGACTGCTTTTAGCAGGGAGTGAAAATTGCTGCCGTTCCACTTTACTCCCATACTCTGGTTCATGCTGATTTGTTGCTGCAAGAATGGTGCAGAGTGCCTAGGAAGAGAGCAAGATGTTGTTCTTCTATGTAATGGGCTCATTTGCCTTTTCTGTAGAAACCACTGTCAATGATCAAACTAAGCATCAGTGTGCATCCTAGCAGAGAAAAGTGGGAGGGGAGGCTGCAGGATTTATGCTATATACACACCCACACTCAAATGACTGGACTGTAATTTTTTCTGCGGTTGCGGATAAATTCTAGAGATTGCGTTTTTTTTGGCTTATTTTGTGCTTAAAAACCAAATCAAAAATTTGATGCGTGTAAATATGTGCTATTATACCCCTCGTATTTTACCTATTGATCCCACCATCACCCATGGCTGGGAGCACAAGAGAGTATTATTGACCTCACTTTCTTTGGCTGGATAGGATGGCCATTACTCTCCTCCCATCATTCAGTGCAATACTGAATAATACTGGGCAATATGAAAAAAAAAGCCAAAAAATAAATAAATAAACAATAAAAATAATAAAGGACAAAATAAATGCACCTATTGCACCTTCAGCTGAGTCATTCAGGTATCTTAAAAATTCATCAAAATCAAAATTGTACCAGTTATGTAGGTCTCTACAAGTACACATCATTATTTATGGCTCAACTCAACATCAAAACATCTTTACAGCATACTGTAGTTACCATGTTTTCCCAATGTTGACCTTCAGAAACTCCCTTCTTGTTATCCTGATACCTTTTGTGGCTGCCAACCTGTCAATGTTAACAGTAAGTTATATAACCTACATACATTAACTTTCACTTAATGAAGTATACACAGTAACAAAATGGACTATGCAAAGAAATGTTTTTTTTTTCCTGTTAATCCTGAAATGAGTAATCAGTGAAATGCCATTAGCCAACTTTAGGTAAACATAGCTCAAGTTATCCATAGCTAATTCATTCAGATAACCCACACTCAATAGCTTAGGTTAGGTTACGTCATGTAGCTAACCTAGCTAACCTAGAGCATGTATGTCCAAAATGTTTAAGTGTATTTAAATGTACTATTATTATGATTATGATTATTATGATAATAATAATAATAATAATTATTATTATTAGCCAAAAGTCTTACCAGATTGTAGAGAAACAGCCAGTATGACGCTGAAGAACGTTTGGGTAGTAAAACATTTTAGCTACGCTTCCTATCTAAAGTAAACTCAGAGGTGATCTGCGTTGTCTTGGTCTAGGTCTATTGCACAACTCTCAGTGCTAATAAAATTTATATTGGGATGAGAAAATCTGGATAATTTTATGCAATTGATTCAACTATATATAGATATGATTTTATGTCTCAAAACGCCTTCAGGCTTTTTGGCGCTTTCTGCTAAAATTTGAAAATTGAACGTCTTGTCAGTTCATCCAATCCATGCTCAGATCGTGCTGAACGACCAATCAGGCTGCTGCTCTCAATCTATAGCCGAACAACGCTGTGAGGGATTGTGGTAGGAAGGAAAGTGTGGGTTTATTTTGGACATTTCAGACTATACTTATTATAAGTGTGATACTGTATTGTTAGACACAATCTGGCTAATTCACTGAACCTTCTTCAAGTTTCTTGAAAGAAAGGTAGAAGGTTACAGTCTATTTACTCCAATAAATCTAAACCACTGAGCAGCCACGCTCTAGCAATAATGAGAGGCCATGTTCATACTTTTTATATTTTATATTTTGTCTTTTTCTATGGTTTAAAATTGAATAACTCTAACGTTTGCAAAAGACAGCCTGTAACGGAAAAATGTGTAACTCTATGGACTGTTCACATTTTCCAGCGGTCAGTCAGTCGGCGCTGTGGCTCCGCCCCATTAGCACAAATCTTACACGCTGTCAGGAGGATGGCCAATCAGAACGCCAGGAAGTGCCGAGGGAGTTCTAACAGCGGCGCTGACGTGACGTCACTGAATTTTTTATTCGAAGTGGCGAGTTTCGTTTGACGCCACGCCTCTGCGTGAAGAATGTCAGAGTCAGATTGAAGCAAGTTGAAGGACTACGCCTTGTGCTCTTGGCATAATTTAGCACGAATACAAGTAGAAATGGCTTATCATAACCAGTACCGACCTCCGCACTATAACAGCCCGCCGGACCAAGCGTTTCTGTGGAATATATTTCAAAGGTAAGTGAAAACAGCGCTACGCACTATTCCGCATTCGAAACACTAAACCCACCACAGTCTCAACTAACGTTACTGCGGGTCCTAGCATGGTGAGCACAGGGCAAAGCAGAGCTTTTCCAAGTTGTTATGAACGAGTAAGATTTCAGCTGGGAAGAGTACAGCGCACAAATATCTAACACAAAACTTTGACATTGTCATGAGTTCTCAGTAATTATGAATTACGCCGTAGTTCGGCTGGAGAAATCGGTTTGCGTGAGTTGCTCAGCGCCGTTCTCTTTTTAACGGCGTTTCCTGTTTTGCCTATCGCCTACACATCAGCCTCAGCTGCGTGGACTGAATGCCCACAGCACGAATAGTTTTAGTAGGCTATGCAGGGTTATAAAATTGCTGTATTCAAGCAACACTTTTCATTTTTTTTTGTCTAACGCTCATGATTCTTAGTTTCTGATATAGGTAAGTGTGACTGGTTATTAACTACCCAGCTAAGTTGCCGCTTGTGGTAGTAATGAATTATGTAATACTGCAGAGGGTTGACTGCTGCTTTCTCACATTAAAACTGCCGTGGGCTCTGAAGCAAGCAAGCTAGCACGCACGTTTGTGCTGAAAGAAGCAAACGCAGAGCTGAAGCAGTCAACGTAGCCATAAACATTGAGACTCTGTTGGCCTCGGGAATTCCGTGGAGTGATGACATAGCAAGCAAGTGGGGATTTTTTTGTCCTTGATCATGTGAACTAAGGAGAGTAAAGATCCTACTTAGTGAGTCACACTCAGGTCTTTTCTTGACGCTGTGACACGAATGAGTCTTAAAAGTGGCCCCTATGGGTTCTACCTGTGAGAATATTTCCACAACAAACTGGAATATGAATGTTTATGCCTTTGACAATGCAAAGAGGGGTACCGTTTTACATTTTTGTGCTAGGTTAGCGCTCCCTGTTTATATAAAATTGTAAAAGAGCTCCGAATTAGATTTCTTGTCGGGTTCATCCTATTATGTAACCTATGAACTTTAACTTTTTAGACTATGACGTTTGTAAGCTATTCACTCTCCAGCTGCTGTTGACTATGCTGTTGAATATGAGCTAATGGAGACATTTATTTTGGCAAGTTACAGCCTGATTGCAGCAGTGGAAAACAGAAGTCATGTGGGGAAAGTTTGAAGTAGAACATAGTCTGTGTTCACCTGGATTCTAGGAAGCAGGAACGGGAACTTATGCGGAACAGATGGTGTTACCTGGGGGGAGGAAAGACGTTCTTATTCTCTAACAAAAAAATCCTACCCAACAAAAAAATATCCATCAAATTTTGACTGGTCACTAGGCAGATGCTGTAAGAGATGGTGGGAGAAACAGATTCATTTTCAGTTATCCTGTTGAGTGATCCAAATGTCCTTGAAAATCCAGTTTCCTTGGATTGGCATAGGTGAATGGGAGTCATGTGTTTAAAAATTGGTGGTTATAGGGACAGGGAACACCCTTCTATGGCAAACAAACCAACAAGGTGTTCCATTCATTCCTTCTGGGTGAATCGAAGTTTTTGGTATAGTGGCTAGCTAAGAGGCCTCGCGCTAGCCTAGCTGTGTGTTTTTTCTTTGGGGCCTTCCCTGTTTTTTTTTTTTTTTTTTTCCCCATCTAAAATACTGGATTTATTGTCTGTATGCGAGGCCAGGCTTGTTGTCAGGCTGCTAGGGAATGTCTGACTCACTGAAGGATTTCTCACTACTCACTTATTTCATAACTGTGGCACCTACAAATCTGCTAAGGCCTGTTTTCTTGGTCATAGAATAAACACAATCTGCTCTTTCAGCATTTTAGTCAAGTAAATGTGCAGTTTCTAGCAGAACACCGCAGCTATATTCAGATTTAGAATGTTGGCTTATCTTCAGTTGAGACTTTGGATGTGTTCGTTTGACACTGTGTTTGGTGTTGTTTCCTTGGAAACATTATTCTAGCTGAAGGGATTGAAGGTGGAGCCTGTAATAAAACAAGGCCTGCCCAGCACAAAAAAGATGTCAGCTCTCTTTTTGTCATAAGCAGTTCCTGAGCAAGTCTATACTGAAAACATCACACATTAAATCAACCATGTGAAGAACTGTTGAGCTGAAGGCAGATAATAAAGAATGAATGCATGTATTGGATGTTCTTTTCTCTCAGGTGGTGTAAGTAATACGAGAAGAATGTGTGCAACAGTTTACTATGGCATGGCCAGATAATGGCCAGTAATTCCATGTGGCAGTAAGGTTGTCACAATACCAGAATTTTATTTTTTTTAATCAGTACCAAGTGTAGTATAGTGCCTGATATCAAAACAATGCTATGACAAAATGATACTTATTATTGTCTTAACACCTAATGTTCATTGGATTAAACACAGAAAAATAGTACAATTATTAATGCTTGATTAACTTAAGTTAACAAATCTCTGGTTTTCCAATTAGGTCACAGGTTTTATCAAAACAAAACTCATCAGAAGTTAAATAAATCACTAACGAGCCAGTTTAAACATGGCTTCATTCAACATGTGAACAGTAAGACAAGGACATACAACATTCACCACACTGTATTTAAAACAAATGTGAATGGGTAATGCTTTATGTTGATTGTTTCTAGGAGCAAAAGCTCACAAATCTTAATGAATAAAATTAATCTGTATGCTTTAGATGCTAATTTAGGGACATCTCTGCCCATCTAAGCTGAATTTGATTGTTAAAATCGATGTAGTCAGAATACAAGTGTTAACTAAAGAATTAAAAGTATTCAAGGCTAAAGTATTGATAACCATAATGTAGTTTTGAAAAAAAACACTAAAGTTTTGGTCATTGCACTGACTATCAACTTTTGGTTGTGCATTGCTATGTGATAGTGGAGGCTAGAAGTAGTTAAGCCAGTAAACGATTAACTGTCTTATAAGGCCTTGCTTGTTTAATAAAACACTAAATTCTGTTTTCCCAGAAGATGATTAATCCTAAACCTAGACTAAAAAGGATTTTGGTGAGTCAGCACTGACAGTTTTGCACAAGACTGGGTTTAATCCATGGAAACTGACCCACCATATTTAAGGAAATGTTCCAGATTCTAAAGGGGGTTATCAGAGTCCTAAATAGGTTATAATGATGTTTTAGGAATGACACCTACATTAAATGTAACAGGTAGAAGTCAAGCGATTCTCATTAGTGTGAGGAAGTAGAAATGTTTGTCGTAGATAAGTAGCTTTTTTATGTAAGTAAATCTTTTATTTGAAAAATTATTGTTGAGATCTGACTTTATATATAACAGGAGTGGTTTTTAGGTGTGTGGCCCAATTATCTGCTCTTTCAACTCCCTCAGATGTTAAAGTTGGTGTAAGTTCCACCAATTTAATAGTTCATTTTTCGTATTTATGGTGATTTATTGGCATTTTGATCGCAGGTCGGTTGAATTTAATTTGGGCAGAGGCAGTTGACAGAGACTGTGCTTTATTAAAGGGGCTTCTGTTAGCTATAGGGCCCTGCATGAATTTACCATTGACTGTCAAATAAAGAATAACTGTGGTAAATTCTACAGTGAGATTCTTGCACTTTTGTGTTTCCCCTGTTAGATTTGAGTGTATCTGCAACACCTTGCCACAACCCTGACCTACACAAACCAAAGTCTGTTTAGTTAAGCCTGAGTGACCTCCAGCTAGTGAGGTAGTCAAAGCTGGCATTTGAGAGGGTTTGAGGTAACCTTGCTGTCATGAAGTTGTTTACGTTGCTGTGGCAACACTGCTGTCAATCACAGAACGGTCTAAAATACCCACCCAGCCCTGATCAGGCAGAGCAGCTGAGTTTTTCTATATTTTAATTCTATTTAAATAATAATAAAATAATAATCATAAAAGATAAAAAAAATACATAGTTATATGTAAGCTAGTCAGAAGAGCATCTCACTGCCCCATCGCATGCATTTGTATAATTGTAAAATTTCACCACCAGCACACCTGATTAAACATCTAGAATTATTGATTAACCAAACCAGGTAATGCATGAAAACTGCAAGTAATACTGAGCTGGCACGAGGTGAAGTTTGTAAATAGTTAAACACATTAACATAAACAATTACCACTTATTGTATACAAAGTACTTGTATTTTAGTAATATTAGTGTTTGTTTGTTTTTTGTTTTTTTAAGAAAAAATGCTTACTGGCCAGATCAGTAGCATTTTAAAGGTAATGTTTTCAGACTTTTGCACAGTACTATATATATATATATATATATATATATATATATATATTATTCAAATACTTTTGGGTAATGATCACAATTTTAGTATAATTAAGAATGAAAAACCCTCTTTAAGGTAATTGGGGTTCAAACTCTTATGGTTAAGCAGTATCTGATCCTGTAGGTGTCAGACCTAAGTGCTGTGTTCTTGCCTGCTTCATTGATTTGCTTTGCTCTGTCCATACAACATATTTAGATAGAGCAACTAATCTTCCAGTATCTAACTGACCTATAGGAATGCTGTGTAGTGTTTTGCTGTCAGTCAGATTAGTAAATCATCTTACATTTTCATTTTAGGTTACAATGCATGCTTTCATTTATTACTGTCTGCATTCAGTTCTCCAACCTCTACATGGCTGATTTAATTTGTGGCATCTTCAGCACAGGTTTGCTCAGAAATTTGTTTTTCGCAAATGGTAGCTGACATCTTTTTATTTTTGCTAGATGTGACTTCGAAAAAAAATAGATTTACATAATTCATCACAATTAATCTCATTTGTGTTATTTGCTCAAAATTGACCCTAAATAATGTTTTTTTTTTTCCATTTGAAAGCAGTGTATTTTGTTATTGATATATGATTGGACAAAATAAAATTAATTAGAATGTATTTGGTATTTTCAATAATATTATTTTCAATAATATTATTCAATAATATTATTGTGTAAAAGCAGGGTTCAAGGGTTCACGTGAACCTGAAAATGGAAAACTACATGAAAGCAGCATCATTAACGTCTAGTGAGATATTTGGTACTCCGTGTCTAAGCTGGGTTTCTCTATGACAAAAATGAATGTAATTTTAGAAAATTGCCGCCATCATGCCCTGTGACAGCAGTCCAGCAAGTTTGGTCAAGGGTGGTAGTTTAGTTGCTTTGGCAGTAGTAGGCTACAGTTTGAATAGCTTGTGTTGGTATATAACAATGTTTGTTATAAGTAACTCCTTAACGACTTAATTCAGAGGATCCAGTGACCCTGGCACTTATTCATTGAAATTGCACATATTTGATGACGGCTTTAGTAATGTATAAACTACTTTGCATCTCTTTTATTAAACTTTCATACGATGTGGAAGCAAGCAGAGATTTGAGCACAAATGATAAATCAGCTTTGGTGCATGAAATTAAGTGGCATCCTAACAGTTTACATATAATTTGCATGAAGTTGATGTTGATGTTACAGTAGGGAGCCAATAAAACAGCCTTAACTGGCTTGTGAGCCAGTGGCTATGCTTGTAGAGTGCATTGCTCCCCCTACTCCTCTTACTGTTATGATGACTGGAAAGAATAATACGTTTTTTAAGATGGTAGAATGTTGTGTTTGTATACTGTGATTATTTTTTTAAATTACATATTTGAGCACTGTATTATTGCAACGTATGAGGTGTGTGTTTTGGTTGGTGTCAGTAGGATAAAAGTACAATGTAATTTGTCTTTAAATGGAAAGATATTTCGTCAAGTGTCGAGTTATGCTGGCTAATAAATCATGAAATGTTCGTTTCTTTCTTAGAGTGGACAAAGACAGGAGTGGAGCAATATCAGACACAGAGCTTCAGCAAGCTTTATCAAATGGTAGGTGTTTTTACTCTCTTCTTTTGTTACTTTTCCCACAGTTTCCCGCAGTTGCTTAAACAGTTCGTATGGATGGTACATTGCACAAAAATTGCCACCTTTATAACGTACTAGACACCATTTTCTTTTTTTGACTGTGAGGGCACTCTCATGAGACATGGTCATTTGAAGTCATGCAGTTGTGACAAAATGAGCCTACTGATTTATAAAAACACAGTGGCAGAGTGGTCTCGTGTAATTTAATGAAACATAGCCAAAGGCCATAGAATGCAGGATGTCGGAACAGGATGAAGTTAAAATAGATTATTCCTGTTCCAAAAAGGCACACTGTTACGTTTACTCAAATATTTCTGAAGTTTTGCACTGTTTGTTCAACGTCTTAGTTGTTACAATGATGGGCACCTCTCCAGTCTTGCTTGTAGTGATATCATTGAGATAGATGCAGTATTAACTTCATTATCAGTCCAGACTGCTGGCTGGGCAGAGCTTTGGCAGGATCTTGTCTTTGACTGAAATATCTTGTGACTCTGATCCTGGTCTACAGTCTCTTTTCACTACAGTAGTGGAATACGCTGTATCATGTAATGTGGTATTGTGATATAGTGCTATGCATTGTATTGAACGCTGTGTATGCAGTTGTGTGCATAGTGCCTATATTGTGTTTCATGGAATGCATCAGTAATCCTGATCAGCTATATGACTAGTTAGATAACCTTTACTAGTTGGATAACCCTATTTTAATCATCTATTGCCCCTTGACTCGAGGCAAAAGATGAGTTACATTAAATTAATACAACCATTAAACTAATGTTACACACTACACTACGTACTACTGCACCTGTAAATGTGCATGACGAAAAACAATGAAATTAAAATCAAATAAAAATTAAAATGAAAAACAATTAAAATAAATATTTCCAAACATTTCCAAAGGAATCAGGCTTGTGAAATCATGTGCTGTTTGCCAGCATCCGTTCATGCCCTGTAACCATAAACGATTGATGATAGCATTGTGGAGGCTATGGTGGCAGACAAGCAAAAGCAACTTTTTCAAAAAGCTGCTGATAGTGAATATCATGGGGAAATTTGTGTCAATATGCACCAAACCACAGGTGCCGGAGCCGCAAATATTAATTGACAGCTCCCAACTTCAACTGAGGAGCCTCTCAGTAAAGCACTTTTCTCCTTTAACCTGCTTCAGCATGGTTGAAAATGTGGTCACACCTCATAGAAGCTTGCTTAAACTGGGAAATATAAACATACCTTTGTTAGAGAGATATAAACATTAAATCTTTTAAGCTAACATTGATTTGGTAGTTTTTGCTATAGTTCTGTTGTATAATTCATCCTGCAGGTTTATTAAATTGTGCATTTACAGCATATGAAGCACTTCACTAGATCACTAATAACATAGCTAAAGCTTACTGTTCTATGTTAGCCTACAGGCTACTGTTATTGTAGCCTCCTATTGTTATTAAGCCGGGCTATATTACAGTGCCTTGTTTTAACAACATTCATATAAGAACCATGTCAGAATCACGTTTTTTTCTTTTTGCGAGGGAAAACATTCCATGCAATGATGACAATGAAACTGCTTTTTTTGTTTAGAGAAAAAAAGTGCTACTTCACACCAATATAGAATGTTCTGAAGACAGACAACACATTTAGGCTGATATAGGACATGGACTACACATATAAAAGGAAACTGTAATGAGTCAGAACTAGTCAGATGCAAGCAGTAAAAAAAATTACCAAAAGAGGCTTTACTAGTTTGCATGTGGTTCACAGTCGTGGTCAAAAAAACGTGAAGGTCAGATCCAAAACAAGACAAATACAACAGACAAACATAACAAAAATCAGATCTGGGCAGACACAGGGAGAGGGCAAAAGGCAAAGTTGAAAAACACAGACAATAAGTCTGATACACAGGATAGTAGCCAAAAACACAGGAATGAATGCTCAGTAGCTCTGTAGAAAGAAGCAATACCCCACACTGAACTAATCTAAGGCCCAGGTTTATATACTAACTAAACAAGTCACATGATGAAAGAAACAGGTGAGGCAACTTGGTAATCATGTGAGGCAGATCTCTGATAAGCGGAATGCTGTGATGTCATAGTCAAGTGTTCTTGCAGATGGTCCTGGGAATTGGAGTTCACCAGAGTGTCAGGGCTGGAGAGATGTGTGACAGAAAAACAAACTGTGAGGCATCTCACCAACTTTTTTTTTTTTAATGTGTTGCTGGCATCAAATTCAAAATGGGTATATATTTTTTGAAAAATAAAAACAAATTACTCACTTTCTACATTTGATATGTTGTCTTGGTACTATTTTCAATTAAGTATAGAGTTTAAATGATTTACACATTATTGCATTCTGTTTTTAATTTAATTTTTTCACAGTGTCTCAACAAGTGATGAAAAGGTTATTTTTAGTGACAAAAGAACCAAAGCTGATTATTTATGTAAGTTCTAAGACTTTAGAAAGAAAGTTTAGAGATTGCTCTGTAATTTTTAAAAAATCTCCTTAAATTAAAAACTTTTAGGAAGGGGCAGGGTGATGAGCTACTTTCCATGCTTTTAAGGCTAAAAGAAAGTACTTAAATACATAGGTAATGATTTGAGCAGCTGTGCGCACAGCAATTCTGAATACAAATTCTATCTGCAGTGCTACAGTTTATTGATATTAAGCAGACTTTTAAGACATCTTCAGTTTTAAACAGCTCAAAAGTAAAAAGATGCAAGTCTAGAAAGAGGCAGAGGAGAAGGTTCATTGACCAGGTTTATCCCTGGTAAGCAACGTTCTAGTCTTGTTGGACTCTTCTGTCTCCCTTTGCCCTCCACTGAGAGAGAAGCTTCAAACCATTTGTCCATTGCAATATCTAAGAGCTGGAAAGGCCATCAATTGATTCTCTGGTCAGTGAACCATTTTGCTGTGATCTGGATGAACACGTTTGGATCATAATCTTTGTGGAAGATCCAGTGATATTGCTCAGACTTTGTTCCTGTGATCTTGCTCAAAAACTGGAGAAAAGTCTTTGATGCCATAGATCCCTACAAGCACGCAAGATAATTTAAAACAAAAAAGAACATATCCACCTCATTTAACTGTGATAATTAAATTCTTGTCTGCATGACTACACCTTATATTATGCCAGACCTTAGAAAATGTTTCCAGTCTGTGTTCCACAAATGTAAAGCAAATTCCAGCTGATAGCTTTTGTGGTACAAGGGGAGTAGCCACTGTTTTCTGGGATAACTTCTAAGAAATTTGTTGGCTTTGAGGTTGAGACCTACAGTGTTATAAACTGTATTTTCAAACCATTCTTTCCCTCACTTTTGTAGAACTAGGTTGTTTTATACTTCTGCCCTAACAGTGATGATGGGTATGGTCCCATATCATAGATCTGTCCTCAGACCTTCTTCTACTAGGTATAGGAGTTTGACCTGTATGTAATCTTGTATGTATGTATGTATGTATGCATGGTTAGGTACTTGCATCAGATTTTGTTAATACAAATTTTTCAAAGGCACCAAAGTACCAATAATTGCTACTGGTTTTTATCTTGTTTCAAATAGTTTTTTTAGACTTTTTGCACAGTTTTGGAAAGGGTGCCTATAATTCCAGAAGTGCTGTATTTGAATTTGAACTACATGCTCGTTGTTTTTTGTCCTGATATTCTGATTTGATGTGGAACATATTGTAAACTGTGATAAATGACACCACCGAGATGAAGTTGAATGTACTATGCAGATACTTTGTGAATACCATGGGCCTTCCTCTGAAACAATTGATTAACCAACCTGAATGTGCTATTTTTTTCTTTTCTGTCCTACATGTAACCATACTGTGCAAAGGCAACCCAGTAATGGGCTCATGTCCTATTCCAGTCTATTTTCTCTCTCTTTCCTTTTCTCTCTCTCTCTCTCTCTCTCTCTCTCTCTCTCTCTCTCTCTTTTTCTCTCTCTCTCTCTATCTCTATCTCTCTCTATTTCTATCTCTCTGTTTAGGACTGGTGTCTGTTTAGCCTAAGATGAGCACCTGATTGTATTTGCTAGCTTTCATTAAGAGCACTTTTTTACTTTAATAAAGCAAAAACAAAGCTTTAAATAAAAACACTTTTCTCTGTTGCTGGGCTAAGAGTTTGTCAGAGTGCTGTCCCTTTACTTGGATTTATGTTCAGAGTCATTTTTTAAGCAGTGCCCAGTATAGCAGTAGCGAAATGAAAGAAAAGTTCCAGTGATGATTTACACAGTCACAGCCTTTTAGAAGCCAGCTCATTTTCCCCTCTGACTATTGCCATGCTGCTTTATGCTTTCACTCGTTATCATGGGTGAGTCATGAATTTCACTCCATAACATGGAAGGATAAAAATATGAGCATAAATGAGCACCTTTAGCCAGACTTGGCAGAAGGCTAGCAGCTCCAGGTTTTAGAGAAATGCAGTAGACTAAAACATTTCACTCAGAAGTTGGGCTACAATACAGGACGGCTATGTAGCTGTACCTTCTAGTTAGAAGGTTTCAAGTGTCTTGAGATTTTGTTTGCAGGTGTTTATGTATAGTCTGTGAAGATTATGTAGTGCAGTTTATACATTTCTTTTTACCCTATTGTTTGATTGTATGTATGGTTATTGGACTAGAATAGAGCCTTATGGTGGTTGGTGCGCTGATTGGTTGGTCTCTCACTCGCTCAGTATGCTGCTTTGCCTTGTGAGTGCATTCAGTTGCTCCATGCCCCCCTTCATCAGTGAGCAAAGCAGTGAGAAGGTCCAGTGTGTACTGTATAGTAGCGTCTTTGTGCCTGAGGCCAGGCTGCGTGTAGGCTGCACTAATTCCCCCTCCCTGATAGCCTACTAACAGACAGGCACACACACATATACACACTCCATATCCTGGTGTGGCTGTCTGACTTGGAGCCCATATGATTCACATTGGTCTTGTCCCGCAAGGAGGGTAATCAGTATGACCTTGGGGATTAGAGAAAATGTATGTAAAAAATGTATTCCAGTGAAATGGGGAAAAAAATCTAATCCTTTTTTTTCTTCCTCCCTTTCTTGCCAGTCACTCATTATTTTCAGTCTTTATTTTTTAGCTTCTTGGTTGTGGTGCACTGATTATGAATTTGTATGGCTAATTCCAATTCGGCCAGTAGACTTTTTACAGTCAGTCCTAGAATGCCCTACTAACATTTATATGAGTATTATAGTCAGTAGGGATTGTGTCAGAGAGGTCATAGCATATTTTGAGTATTTTTATTAGATAAAACAGCAACAGACTATGATGAAAACATAAATGAAATCATTTGTTCTTGATAAGACCAAACTGGCATTTAAATGCTTAAATGAAAAAACATGCTCAAGAAAATTAAATGTTAAATTAACTTAAAAATGTTAAGTTGTTGCATGAAAAGAACAGGTTTAATAGGTCAAAGTTATATTTATGTAATTTGGTGAAGTTGTTATTGTACTACTAAGTTGTAGAAAACAGAGTATGCAGTAATTGCTGTTACAATATCGAGGCTAGTCAGTTAACCAAAAAGTGTTAGAAGGAAGGAAGGACAACAAAAAGAGGGGAAGTAAAAAAACATCCAAATAGATCATGCCAAGAGCCAATGGGAAAGATGTTAAGTTGTACTTAACAAGGCTGCACTGACCTATTAAACACTTATTACACTTAATAAATCTGACAACTCACTGTTTTTTTAAAAAACATGACTTTAATATGACTTATTCAGTTTTAGTATATTTATTTAATTATTTATTGTTTATATTTATACATTGTTTTTGTGCAGTTGGCCTTTTCAATAACATGAAATCCTAGTGCTACATCAAAAGTATTAGGGCAGCTGGATATTTTTGGCAAGTTACAGCAACAGCATTAAATACAGTAGTGTGAAAAAGTCTAAAACACCTAAGCACATTGTTTGAAATAATTTATCTTGACTGTGTGTTTTCTTATATTCTTTTCTTATTTGAAAAAAAAAATTAGTGTTTATTCCTTTATGAGCTAGTTTGAAGAACAAAGTTTGGTTCCAGATGTCTCCTGCACACCCAAAGTCCTTACATAGATTTGATGAAAATGAGGAATTGGTTTGGAAATGGTTAAACACACTGACATACATAAAATCACTACTTAATCTAATGTCTTTATATTTCTTGAAATATTTGTGCTTTTCTAAGCAAATAAATGTATACAGCCCAGATAAACAGCTTTTTTTCAGCATCTGATTTTCTCTGGTATCTAAAACTTTTGCACTGTACTGCATGTATTTAACTGACTCACGTTGTGAACATCATAAAATCACAACACAAGTAGGCTAGTACAAAATGAACAAATCGGCCAACCGACAATCACGTTACGAATCAACATCTATATTTCTTTGTTTCTTGTCCTTCCCTTTTTGTATGCACTCCCTGCTTTCTTCCACAGACTCTCTCATGTTCTTCTTCACTCTTGCCTCTTTTCCTCTTTTCAGTTCTGTTGTCCCTATGTCTCAGCTCTTTTTGGTTGTTTCCTGGGAAATTTTAACATCTGTCCCACCACCCCCTGCTGCAGAACCAAACAGAGCAAACAAACTGTTCACAACTCTAAAGTTTCTAGCTGCAGGAGGAATTGCTTAGAAGGTAGTTTATCATTCCACAAACCCTAGAGTGCGGGAGCTGAAGCTATGACTCAGCAGAGCTCATGAGTGGATTTATTTTGCACCTTGGCCATGTTGGTTATGCTACCTGCAGTACAGAGAGTGGACAAAGGACCACCCTGCTGTGATAAGCTCACTTCAACAACGGATGCGGTCTGTTTTTCATTGAGTTTTTTATTCTTCTCTTGTAAGAAGGAGGGCTCCCTGTACAATCAGCAAGTGGGCCTTATAGTCGTGTGTGTGTGTGTGTGTGTGTGTGTGTGTGTGTGTGTGTGTGTGTTCCTACACATCTGTAGTAGATTGCTTTGAAACTTGGCCTTGTTGAGTTGTATTTCTTGTGTTGTCTTTTCACAGCAAAATTTATTTATCTTAAGCGGGACAACAGATAAATAACTACACATGCCTTGAGTATAGAGAGTATAGCTTGAAAGTAATTCTGCCGCTACTCTATTTGATTTTGGAAGAACTACACATTAAATAAACACTAATACTAATGTACATCCTTACAAGAACAAATATAGATACGACAGTCAGCAAAAGTCGAACTGTAGAAAGTTGCAGGGTGAAACATGGCTAGAGCTGCTGTATGTGCGAGGCAGGATTAAATATTCAGCACTGTTGTGCTCAGTCAAGGGGTGTAAACAGGGGTAGACAGACATGAATGGCTTTACTGGCCATTAGGGCCACTAAGCCCATGAATCTTGTGACTAGAATAATAGAAACATGTTTATTGTGTTGTGTTTACAATTAACACACATCGTTCAGTACCAAAAAGCAGGCAGGTGGTAAGTAAATATACATTAAAAACTAACATTAATAAGAGCATTGCTGTTGTGTTGACTGTGGTGGTTCCCCCCGGCTGAGCAGGTTCACCCTGATGTCATCCAGTGTAGGTTATTTCATTAGGTACTGTTTAGGTGCTGCAGTGAAATCCTCTTGGTGTAATGCCGTCTTATTGAACACCTTGTGATGCTGATGTGAGCAAACTTTAGCTAATGAAATCGCATATTTGATGCCAACAGCTCAGCAGGGTGACCACCAAAGTCACCACAACGTCATCTTAGTTATTGTGGTCATTACAGTTAAGGAATTGAGACCAAACAGGTTTGTTACACGAGAAGAAGAATGCAAAAAAAATCAACAACAACTGGCCACTCAGGCTACAGACTTTTAGTGCCCAAAATGTGCTGGGCACTGTGTACTCTTGGGTGTAAATCTCTGACTTTTAAGGCAATTCAGTTTAATTGCTATGTTTAGGACACAGTTCAATACATCGTCAAATCTTAAATTTCATCACAATTTGGTCAATGTAGTTGAATTGTCACCTTGAGATGGTTTTACATTCCTAGCTCAGTCTATTTTACTCTAATGTTAACCTGTTTCCTCTTCTTTTACAGGCACATGGACACCATTCAATCCTGTGACTGTCAGATCAATTATATGTGAGTAAATTTGTCTTCTGTCATTTAACCAGAAGAACCCAGCTTCATAACAGTGGTTTAGCATTTTCCCCAAGGGCTTGATAGTTAATTGATCTCTTGAATTATTTTGTGTGCTTTAACATTAAACAGTGCACTGCTGTCACCATGGCTTGTTATGAAGTTATGAAATCGACACACCTCCCTTAGATACTGTAGCTATGTCTGTTAAACTTTCAGCTCAGGCCACCTGGCATCATCCATAGCACTTGTGCTAACAGACTAAACTGGGCTGGTTTTCCCAAAAGCACAAAAATGATTCTTAAATTGTAGAGCGAGCATAACACAGTGAACACTCCCTCTACCAGTTACAATCTTTACGCTAAGATATTTTTAGGAAACTTGATTCAGTTTGGTCACAAAGAAGAAAATGTACAAGCACACAGAGCAATACCTTTGAAAAATATTGTATTATTCAAATATGACCTTGCTTCACAAGATATACTTGTGTAGACATATGTGTTTGAGAATAGACAAAACATGAATGTAAACCAGTTCAAAGCAAAGTTATTCTGGAAAGCATGTTTACGTCAAACCAGGGAAGTCTTTTAACGACAGAACGTTAAAGTAGGAGAGTTTCATGTCTAATAAGGAGAAAGTTGAGCAGCTGAAGCTGCCACTTCAGATGATGTAATGCTGGAGGTAACAGCTATTCATTGCAATGTTATATGCTGAAGAGAGCCCACCTTGTACACAAGGTCTTTTAGCAAAGTTTGATGAAACAAAACAAATGATGGCCTACATACGTGTTTATTAATATTTGTCTTCACACACAATGCTTCAGTCTAACCCATCAAGCTATCTGTCAACAGCTAAGTTAGGAAAAGTTAGCTTAGCTAGGTAACTAATCTTAACATTGTTCTGTAACATTATTTATCATTAGATAAAATGAGTGATGGCAAATATAACCAACAACCAACTAACAAAATCATGTTAGTACTACCAGGCGTGGATCATGAAAAAATAGATGCCAATATTCACTACTTAAAATTGACATTATAAATTATATTTATTTATGACCCTTATCAGTTCTTGATTGTAATCTGCTAATGATGTCGAGATGGATCTCCTGCACTGGATTTGGAGAATACTGGCTTAATAGGTAAATTCTCCTTTAGCTGACCTTGAAATATTCCAAGATAACTGAGTCACTGAATCACAAGACTCTGGTTGTGTAAGGCTGTTAGCACAAATGTTCTGAAAAAACATTCTGACTTTTTGCAGCATGAATACTTCACACCTTGTCTGAACATTTGCTCAAAAGCTATTCATGTTGCTTTATTAGACTCTGTCATTACTTGCTGAAAAATTCTATCTGTTAAAGTTGCCAAAGGCATGACCTGTTTGCCTCTGCCGTCACAAAAAAGAAGACTAACTGGTTTCATAGGATGTCAGTCTTCAGATAGCATGCATATATTTCACAGGAGTCTTACTTTTATTTGAACAGGTCTTAAAGGGCCCATATTTGAAATAAAAGAATTTAATATAGTATGTAAACATTGTGAGTTGTGAAATGTACCTTTCACGCCTGAGTCCTTATATAAGGACAATTGGTCCGATTTTGAGACACTTTCACCTCTTTGGCGTGGGACATGTAATATCTAGTCTTCCTTCCAGTCTACTTGCAGTTCAGTTGTGATTGCTCCAGTTTTGAATTTAAATGTATTAAACATTTTCAATATTTTTGATTTCATAGTATGTTTATATAGAATAGTATACAGGCTAGTGAAAGGAAAAAAAATAAGACAAATGTGAAAGTAACAGAGCACTTGTATAAAATTTCTGACAAATTAAAGAATGCAAAGATATTTTGCTTTACTTGGTGAGGGGGCTGTGAATACAGAAGGACTATGTCAAAATATGCGGCGTCTCACGTTTTCAGCAACGGTTAAGGGCCTGTAGTGTGGGCCAGGCATACAGTTGTATGCAACAGTTTGAATATCCCTAGTCAAATTACATGTTTTGTTCATTTTCTAAGTGAAAATAAGTTACTCTGCATGGAGCAAACTTAAATATGACATTTTCCTGCAAATTTTACTGCACAATTTGTATTTATTTGTTGAGTTTAATATATGTGAAGTTTTCTTTCTTCCAATATGATACATACTTTTTGCACATACTTTTTTTTTTTGTTTCCAGTTTGTTAAATTCAGCAAATACACAGTAATTGGGTCTTAAACTGTGCAGAAGTGTGTTCTCTGTAGAGGATGTGTTAACTTAATCTCACTTAGAAAATCAACAACATATAATTAGACCAGGGTTCCAAATTTTTGCATATGACTGTAAGCTGCAAAAACTGTTTTCAGTTGATTGTTTTGTATCATGTCTTGAAAAGTTTATTTACATATATCCATCCATTCCGACTACTGCAGTTTAGCCCTGCCTATTCACGTTGAAGTTACAAGGAGGGTTTCAGTCTGGACTGATTTTTAAATGAGACACAGTCCAGTGCAGAAAATCAGAACAGAGGTCATTTACATTACATTTACACTACATTACATTTTTGTAATGCAAGTTGTAAAATAACTAAAAAATAAATTACACTTTGGCGCAGGAATTTACTCAAGAGGTCCAAAAATCTGTTCCTCCAGTGATTGCAGATCAGAGTTATGACTGAGTCAAAAGGATTTATTATTTTCACAAAGCCAAGAATCAAACAATAACAGAAAGAAGATATGAATCGGAGCATAAGATCAAAGACTTGATCTCCCAAAGGATATGCAGTGCGTTTTAAAGGCCCAATGATGTAACACAATACAAAAATTATTGGTTGGGATAATAATTGACTAAAAATGTGATTGGAAGAAATAGCATCGCCAGTCTTTAGGTAAAGTGAATATTTGAATTGAGCTGAAAGGCAATTGGCTGAACTGTCAAAAGCTGGTCACAAGGAATTGAACTTTCTAGAAGGTTCAAGCTCACGTATATGTGGAAAATTTAAATGCTAATGAAAAGCATAATTAAAAATATAGCCAGACCCAGTCCCCAGACGCCTAAGGAAACTAGAAGCTAAATTTGATTAAATAGGACATGTTAGATGTCTGGATCTCTGGCAAGACGCTTGAGTGACTTTGAGAATGCCTTCTACCAAGATTACACTATGAACAATCAGTTATAAACAATTATAATCAAACAGTCAATCAGGTCATACTTAGCTATGCATATTACCAAGATATCATTCTGATTAACCTTAAATTAGAAGTGATTAGGTGTTAATTCATGAAACAGTAATGACACATGTATTTTACTCGAATAATCATTCTCATTTAAATATCACAGGATAAAATAATGATTACTTAATGATTCCATAACAGTATAAAGCATATCTAAATAATATCTGAATCATATCCATAAAATCATCATTGTAACTCATTACTCTTTTAGTTGATGATATATGAAAAACTTTGATTAATACCCATAGATTGTCAAAACCAATCTTTAAAGGTAGATCCATCATTCAAATATCCAATCAGATGACACCTACATAAACATAAGTGTACCTCAGGGGGAAAAAATAGAATCCAAAGAAAATGTAGCATAAGTAATAAATTGAGCCTGAGCATACAATAAGATTCTCTATTCTCTCTCTTTCTGTTTCTGTATCTCCTGCTCTCTTAGCTATGTTTGACAGAGAGAACAAAGGTGGGGTGAACTTCAATGAATTTGCCGGTGTATGGAAGTATATCACCGACTGGCAGAACATCTTCCGCACCTATGACCGTGACAACTCAGGGTTCATTGACAAGAATGAGCTAAAACAGGCTCTTACTGGCTTTGGTGAGTAAGCAAATGCTAGCTTATTAACTCAGTGGTGGCAGGTCAGAGATAATAGATGAATACAGTGCTCTGGGATAGAAGGCTATTTGGCACACACTATTGCAGTGCGTTAGAGAAAAAGGGGCTGGCGCATTGACCCATTAAAGCACAGATAAATGTAAATCAACCAGGGTAGTTCAGGGAAGAAGTGATTACTGTAGTTAAGTCTATAATGATTAGTCAGTATCCCTGATGATGGTCACCATAGGGTGGACAAACCCAATTAAAGCAGAACGATCTATGGCGGTGTAGTAATGCTTCAGTATCAGATTTTGCTTCTGTTTAAATGCATTGTAAAATTGTCTCCCCCAAACCAAATCGGTATAATAATAACCACTGTTTTATTTATGTGGTACGGGTGCAGTGGCCAGAAAAACAAACTCATACAAATTGTCAGATGCAACTAGCTAATAACAACATAACTCTTTTTAAGAGCATTTGGTGCTAGCTGTCTGAGCTTTATGTTGTTATACTTCTTGCCCAGGGTATCGTCTCTCAGATCAGTTCTATAACACGCTGATAGAGAAGTTTGACCGGCAGAGGAAAGGTCAGGTGGCCTTTGATGACTTCATACAGTGCTGTATCGTACTACAGGTAGGAACATAGCTCATATTACACAGTATGTTTGTCATTGGTGTTTTTTACAAAATAAAAACTATGTAAGATGCAGCTAAAGATTGTTTGTTGATCAACATTTTTTTCTGTGATGTCTGATTATGAATATCTGTTGCTTAGGTATTAGGTATACCTGCCTTGTAATTATCATTTGAAAACAGCAGCTGCCCTTTACATTATGTGAACATTTCATGATGATTAGCCCAATAGCAATGCTCAAAAATTGCTTGGAACAAAATCTCTTTACATTATCTTATGTTGAAAGTAAAGAACATTTTCACTTGTTTTTCTTGTGACAGCAATGATATGTAAAATTTTAAAAAACACCCCTGGTAAAATTGTTGTCTACACATTTTAAAATGTAATTACTGTTTGTTTCTGAATTTAATGTATTGGAAAAATTCACCCAATAACCAAAAATTGTGCACAAAATTAGAGAAATGCAATATTTAAGTTTGTTTCCCACAGTGTATGTGTGACTCATTTTCACTTCAACAAAACATGCAAGAATATCAACAAAACATGCCATTTGACCAGAGGTATTTACACTTTTGCATACAACTGTAAGTGCACTTTATAAATTTGCAGGTACTGACTGTATCCCATCTGTTGCAGCACAATATCCGCACCCAAATATTGTCTTGTCAGTGTGATGGTCTTTCCTTTAATGGAGAGGGGCTAACAAATTGTGCAGCAAAAGATGGGATACTGTCCGTTTCGTATGGTCAACAAAATGGCCAGTAAGTGAGTGCAGGTACAGGGTACCGAATAGTACCTACTAAACAATATTTCATTTAATTAATTTCATTTAATTAATGTACTGACTGACTAGAGTAGCTTAATAAAGTATTTCTTCGAGGAAACAGAGCTGCTGCAGTATGTGCATGAAAAAGTTTTTTATCAGCAAAATGTTACGCTTGTGAATGTCCTTGAAAAATTCCATTGATCATACACCTTTGCAGCTGCTTGTTCATGTGACTATGTCACTCAGCATAATGTCTCAGTTGAATGAATATTAGCTTTAAACAGAAGAGCCTGGTTTGTTTTTTGTGTGCAGAGGTTAACGGACGTGTTCAGGCGATACGACACAGATCAGGACGGCTGGATCCAAGTCTCCTATGAGCAGTATCTCTCTATGGTCTTCAACATCGTATAGCACAGCATTGTAAACCGCACACACTAGTGCCAAACACCAAATCTCTTCCCCCATATAGTCTTCCATCAGAGACACCACACACTCCCCTCTGAAGGAGATTTAGGGGACAGAGTATTAAGACTTCAGCTTACAGATTTATGTCTTTGTCTGTCTGTCTGTGGTCATGTTTCTTTATGATGTTAAGTGTAATCATTAAAAAAAAAAGTAAAGAATATTCATCTCCTTTACATTTAAGGAATGTTTGCATTGTACATATCATTAAGGATCAGACGCATGCTTTCTAATGTACTTCCTTATTGTTCAAGCATGAACTAATTTTGTTCTCTGTTTTGCCAAAGCCATGTTTACAAAGTCAATAAGTACTTGCTTTGGATTCACTGACGTGAACTAATGCCATATTTGTAAGGAACTGTTTTTAATCTGCATATGAACATGCAGAAGGTTTAGCTTTTTATTCAAGGTAGGAGGAACATGTGCTTTTGTTTTGCATGATGCTTTACAACTGCAAAATGGAAACCTTTATTAAAAAAGATTAAAAATCTATTTTTTTGTCTTTTTCCTTGGGATTCTTCTTTTAAGATTAGTTGAAGGTTCTAATTTTCTCTGCTAATCTAAGTGAACATAGAGTAAGACCTCTAGATAAAGTGTCTCAGCTTTTATGTATTTAAAAAATTATTTTACTTATTCGATGGACATATGAATAGCTGACAAGTATGGCAAGTTAAGTGTGTTTGCTGGGTAAATATTTAGAGTTTACAACATAGTTTACATCTTCAACATTTTTCTGTGTTTGTATTTGCTCTACTACTCCAATGTTCCTCCCATGTTAGTATGATCTACCCAGTCTTGTAGTTTGGTACCATTAAAAAAAAATAAAATATACATGTATACACACACACACACTCACTGGCTGAGCACTTTATTAGAAATGCTTTGTATCTACTCTCATTGTCCTTTTACACAGCTTACCATATAGGAGGATAGGAGCACTTTAAATTGTGCAATTACAGACTAGTCCATCTGTTTTTCTGTGTACTTTGTTAGCCCACTTTCACCTTTTTCTTCAGTGGTCAGAACCACCACAGAGCAGGTATTATTTGGGTTGTGAATCATTCTCAGCGCTGCAGTGACACTGACGTGGTGGTGGTGTGTTAGTGTTTGGTGTGCTGGTATGAGTGGATCAGACAAAGCAGTGCTGCTGGAGTTTTTGAACGCCTCTGCATCGCTGCTGGACTGAGAATAGTGCACCAACCAAAAACATCCAGCCAGCAGTGTCCTGTGACCACTGATGAAGGACTAGAGGATGACCAACACAAACTGTGCAGCAACAAATGAGCTATCATCTCTGATTTTACACCTACAAGGTGGAGCAAAAGGTAGGAGTGTGTAATAGCTTGAACACAGTGTTTAAAAACTCGAGCAGCATTGCTGTTTTTGATCCACTCGTACCAGCACAACACACTAACATACCACCACAATATCAGTGTCACTGCAGTACTGAGACCGATCCAACCCCCAGCTCTGTGGTGGTCCTATAGGGGTCCAGATCATTGAAGAACAGAATGAAGGGCTAAGAAAGTATGTAGAATTACAAAGTGATCCTATTTCATAAGTGGAGCTGATAAAGTGGACAATTAGTATAGATTCCTAATAAAGTGCTCAGTGTGTGTGTGTGTGTGTATAATTTTAATTTTGTGTGTGTATATATATATATATATATATATATATATATATATATATATATATGCACACACACACACACACAATGATGGTTTAATAAGTTAGTCTAACATGATATTGTCACTGTCCAATGAAAAAAGTTTTTTTGCTTTTAATTTAGGTTCTTGTACGGACATTTGGTTCCAAGTAATTTTGGAGCATTTCTATCTGTCCATTCATCATTAGATTATCATGCAATAAAAAGGGCAACTGCAATATAAACGGCAACTGTCAAAAATGGAGATACTGTTGTTTTTTTTGGACACTGTTAATATAGACCATTACTCCTCATATATTTCTTTCTGCTGGTATCAGATTGAGCTCAATGGATTTTTCAGTTTTGGTTATTTATGGCTCAACTCTGCCCCCGTGTGCAGGTTTCAAACTAGTGCAGTAGCAAATGCAGTAAGAAAATTTAATCTCAGCCAAGAAACTGAATCTGGGGAGAAGATGGATGTTTGATGTCTCGAAACTGTAACTGCTAACAACAGTTTTGCAACAAAGTACTATTGTTCTTACTTAGGAGTATTTGAATATTGTGTTCTTTTTTTAACATATCTTTGTTTAACTTTGTTTATACTGAATATGTTGTTTTATATTTATAAGTACAAAGTCAAAAAGATTTTGTAAACTTGAATATAGAGGATTAATTATATAACTGGAGGTTTATAAAATAACAACAACAAAAGTGTCTGAATATTTGTTTCCCCTGTCTATAAAACAATCTCCTAATTACTAAAGTAATAGTAGTACTTAGTAAAAAATTTAAAATGCGCACCAACACTGAATGTTTTTATTATTATTATTATTATTATTATTATTATTATTGTATAAGAATTTACAGACTTAGCTGATAAGTAAAATTCAGCCCCATTATACAGAAAGTACAAGAAGTGAATTCAAAGAAATTATAACTCATCATATGTTTCCTGACACAAGTCTCCCTGACACATTATTCCAATTGTTCTACAACAGGATGATTTCCCCTCTATAATGAAATTAGTGTCATCTCTTATCACTGATGTCAGATACAGCAACCTGACAGGAGGCAGAGAGAATTGGTAATTATCAGAGCTTCTCATATTCCGTCATGTCCATGTCATTTTTAATCATTCTCCTGTTGGCCAGTGGGGCTGCAGTCCATAATCTGCTGAAATCTTACAATACTAATTATCTGAAACCTGATACTAGAAGCCAACTTTCACCATGATTCAGAGTGTCGCTCCATGATTCAGAGTGTCGCTGAAATGGCTTGACTTAGATCTTGCATGCCTCTCTTTTAATGAGAAACCTTCTGTGTTGTTATGGTCATTATTCACACATGGTTTAAACCTGATAAGAAAAATTAGTTCAACCTTGGATATGCAACACAAAGGAAAAGTTTCTAATATTTCTTACTGGTTTTCTGAAATCTTGAAAAAAATGAAACCTTAATAAATGTCATAGATTAGGTTTTGTGGTGAGCATATTTTACCATGATAAAGTCTACTGCAACATTTTGCATTTTTGTTATACTACTTTAATACTACCACAATACTATCACTACTACTACTACTACTGCTACTACTACTACTACTACTCATATGAATAATAATTTTACCTTTTTCTATAAAATTCCAAAAATGTCAGGACAGTAGGGAAAATGCAAATAAAAACAGGAATCAGTGATTTGTATGTCCACTTTGATCTGTAGTTAAACAAAACAGTATAAAGACAAGATAAATAATGTTTTGTATTATTAACGTTATTGTTTTTTGTAAATATACACTCGTTTTGCAATTGATCCCTGCGACACATTCCAAAAAAAAAAGCTGACACAGTGGCAATTTAGGATTAGAAAAATTGATAAATGTTCAGAAAACATTTTTAAAAAGGTAATGTCATCATGCTTGGGTATAAGAGGAGCATCAATGAAAGGTCTTGTCCTTTACGAGAAAGGATTGGTTGAGACTCTCCACTAGTCCACTGAATTAGAAAAATGTTCCTCAACCAGCATTTGCAAGGATTTTAGGTATTTCACCCTCTACTGTGCGTAATGTTATCAAAAGATTCAGGGAAAAATCTCATGAAGGACAAGGCCAAAAACCACAACTGAATGTCTGTGGCCTTCAATACCTCAGACTGCACTGCAGTAAAAACGGCATGCTTCTGTGACAGATATCACCGTATGGGGCTTCGGAATGCTGTGACAAACTGTTGTCAGTAAGCGCTGTTTGTCGTTGCATTCACTAATGCAAGTTAAGACTGTACTATGCGGCTGAAGCCACATGTCAACAATGTCCAGAAAAGCTGCCGACTTCTCTGGGATTGAGCTCATCTGAAATGGACTGAAATACAGTGGAAATGTGTACTGTGGTCTGCTGAGTCTACCTTTCAGTTTGTTTATGGAAGTAATGGATGTCATGTTCTCAGGGCCAAAGCTGTAAAGCGCCATCCAGATTGTAAAGTTCAAAAGCCAGGGTCTGTCCTGGGTATCAGTGAGTCACCTGCACATCTTTAAAAGCACCTCTTTAACACCGAAAGACACTTTGAAGCAACATAGGCTGCCTTTTAGATGCCGTCTTTTTCATGGATATCCATGCTGATTTTAACATGATAACAGCAGGAAACATTCTGCACATGTTACAACAGCATGGCTGCAGAATCAGAGAGTGCACGTACTAAGCTGGACTGTCTGTCTCCTATTGATTACGAAGTGCAAAATATGACAAGGAAAGTCCTACACAATTTATGCAGCTGAAGGCTTGTATAATTGAAGTATAAAAAAAAACCCTTTCAAAAAGAATCAGTTGATGTCTTCAGTCCCCTGCCACAGAGCCTGATGATCCAGTTCTACATAATGATCATAGAGTCCACTCTCACATCATCAATAACCATCCGGTTTGGTTCCTTCACCTCACAAGAACGAGCCAAACTCCAGCGCATAACCAGAACAGCGGAGAGGATCAGTGGATGTAGTCTGCCAATGGTTGATGATTAAAAGGTAATTAGGCAAAACATGAAGTGTCATAGTTTTGGACTGTTTTCAAGTTAATACAGGTCAAATCGAATTTACTAATCACTGTTTTCTGTTTTGGGTAGCACAGTGGCGCAGTTGGTAGTGCTGTTGCCTCAGCAAGAAGGGCCTGGGTTTGATTCCTGGGCTGGGCGACCAAGGTCCTTTCAGTATGGAGTTTGCATGTTCTCTCTGTGTCTGTGTGGGTTTTCTCTGGGTACTCTGGTTTCTTCCCAAAGACCAAAGACATGCAGTCAGGCCAATTGGATATGCTAAATTGCCTCTATGTGTGAGTGTGTGTGTGTGAATGTATTTGACTGGCAAACTGTGCATCTTGCCTTCCGCCCAGTGACCTCTGTGATCCTGAAGGATAAGTGGCTTAAGAATGTTTGTGTGTTTTCTGTTTTTCTTAGCATTTCACATACTGTCCCAACCTTTTTGGAATTGTATTTGTATTACACTGATTTGGTGTCCTTTAAG